ACGTTCATTTGAATTTAGATTATTTTCGACTTACGTAAATCACATACAGGACTATTAAAACGCCGTACACATTCTACGATTGATAAAAAAAAAATATTACTAAACAATTCCGTTCGTCACACAGTAGTCACTTGTTGTTGTTGGCCAAATTGAGCACGCAATGCATCGGCTCAACAACTGTGTTGAAATTGAATAAACTTCGACGAGGACACGAGATGTGAGGCACACAGCGACGCCCGAAACAAGAACCTCACTGAAGCCCCCTCCCTGGTTTCTCTCTGCCACCCCAATGGCAGCGGGGACCGCTCTCTACCGTGCGCCTCCAACACAGGGAACGACGGAGGAGGAGGAGGAGGTGGTGCTGGGGATTGTTTCCTCCACGAATGGTGGATCGAGGACTCGTCAAAACTGTGAAGCAACGGGGGAATTTCTCGGATGGCTTCCCAATACTGGTGGGACAAGTGGAGCGCTAGACTCAGCTGCCATCCTGGATGCCATGGAATAACTTGCGCATTGGGATCCTAGGATGGAATGTGCATTATTATTTTTTTTATTATTATTCATAAAAAAACTTCAATTGTAGCCACGTTGTTTTTTTTGTCATCTCCAAACGCCTATACGAAACAAGCCGAAGGCGCTGACGATTTAAAGGATGAATACATATTTTTCTATAAAAAAGTCACATCACATGTTGAATTATATTTACCACCAAAGAAAATGTTTAAACAAAACACAACGTTGTTTTAAACCAGAAAATTTTCACTTAAACGTACTCATTCTTAGCCGCAATGTTTTTTCAGCAATTTGAAAGGGGAAAAAATTCCCGTGCCGCAATTTGATCACAACATATGTGGAGCGTAACGCATCGTCAATTCACTCACTCTCAAGAGGACGAATCGTTTCACCTGTGAACAGGGATACATCAGTCACAGAGGGCTCCTCTGCGTGCATGATCTCACACAAATGCGCACACGGGACACGGGGATACGCTCAGATGCACAACAAGCAAGCGTACACACACACGTGGGCACAGACACCCATCCCCTTCGAGCCTTCAGACTCAAGGCGCCGGGTCTTGGTTGCATAATACAACTTAGGTGGAAATTTCATCGTAAAACGAAGGTGAAATTGTACTTTCGTACGGTTCGTCCCCTCCCTCCCCACTATGTACTGTGACCGGCTGCGGAAAACATGATAGGTGAAATTGTACTTATCATGTTTTCCGCAGCCGGTCACAGTACATAGTGGGGAGGGAGGGGACGAACCGTTTACCCACATTTACTCATTCATTATAGATCACTCCGATCAGTGTGCCGTCTGTGGTCACCCAGAACAGATCGTGTAATATATAACCACAAAGGATGCATCATCACACCGATGCACTCTGCTACTCATGACGTAATCACCTGGCTTAGCCACCTCAGTGTCAATGTATGATTGTTGTTCTACACCAACATCAGCCTTACGAAGAAGAAGAAGAAACACATTCCTGCATCAGAAATGGTGTTGTTAAAAAAAAGAACACACTTGCAACCAATCGATGAGAATGAATCGAACGGTGATTGCATCCGCATCAACAGCACGGGCAGACCTCCATTCTGGACTTTGAGACAATGTGAACATTGAACACGGTGGTGGGTGGTGGTGGCGGAGAATTGAATCCACGAAATTAAAAGTTCGTGTCGATGTTTTCTTTTTTTCGCAATCTATTTACGCACTACCGTAGATCACCGTTGTTACACGACACACACACACGTACCTCAACACTAAACTACGTTGTAGTTAAATTTTGATTTAAAGCTTTCGTGACTGCAGTAATTCATATTCTTAGTTCTTTCGGTAAAGTCACGTTGAAGGGAAACAACAAAATAATACGATATTTATAAAATTGTTCACGCTTACAGTGGCTTTCAGACAGCATACATTAAAAAAAAATTCGTCCCCCCCCTCCTCTTTTCAGAATATAGATGGACTAGTCCTAAATAAACTGCTAAATCGCTGCGCGTGGCGCTAACGTTTTTATAAATAAATAAATGCACCGTTTAAAAATAAATGTATGCAAACCAACACACCTGAAGACGACCGTTTGTGTTATGGTCGAAACGTCGTGAGAAATTTTTATTGTTTTATATATATTTTATTATTTTGTTGTTTCCCTTCAACGTGACTTTACCGAAAGAACTAAGAATATACGTTGTAGTTATTCACCTATCCCCACGTGCCCAACACGCTACCTCCCGCGCGTGCGGGAACGCCAAGCTGCCACTCAGGGCGCGCTGGGGCTGGCGCCAGCACTTTGTGTCTCGAGGTTGTTGTGGTGATGGATTGCATGAGTGATTGATTGCCTGAGCTCGGCTGTAATTTACGTGGATTGTTTATTTAAAACAATCTTCTCAACGCTTACCCCCCCCCTCTCCCTCCAATATTGCCCCAATGTAAATTTTATTTTTACGATGTACACATTTTTATTTTACCAGGTAAGGCTCCCACTGAGCTATATGTATGTTGAACTTCTTTCGCACCGTACGTAGCCAACCGTGCTCTTTTTCAGACGCGACCTGGCCATAAATGATAGCTCAACGAAGGGGCTCATCATGTGGAAATTTATAAACGTGGAGGGGAAATCTGAGAACCTGGAAGAAAAAAACATCCACGCGACCACGGGGAGAACATGCAAACTCCAAATATACAGGCGTCAGGGCTGGTATCGAACACAGAGCCCCCTGCATACCAGCGAGGTAGTTCACATCTTGCCTGCGTGGCGCCTCAAGCAGTGAATTGACTGGTGCATTTAAATATTCGTGTGCGTGTTTTATACATATATATCCAGTATACAAACAAATAGTATCATCACCTTGAACAGTTTTAACGTGCACCTCTCCGATGTGTTTGCGGTGCCGCACCAACACATGCAGGACCAATACTGACTTCAATTCAGCAGAGCGGCGGTGGTGGCTGTACACGTGGTCTATAACCCAGCACTCTGGGTGGTGAGGGGGTCCCATATCCTCGCTCGCCAGGAGAGGGCAGTCCAGCAACAATGTGGACTCCGCCTGTTCCATCTGTTTGGGATCGAGCGTGTCGCCCCTCGCCTGTTGTTTCGGCATGATGTCAGACGTTTCGCTGCACGTTTCGAGAACCATTCCGTTGAATAGCGCCAAGGTCCGGTTCAATACGGTACACAAAATCCGTGATCTGATCCCATCCGTAAAGGATGTCATTCCTGACTTACAGTACCCCGGTGTTTACAAATTGAGTTGTACCTGCGGTAACTGCTATAGCGGGGAGACGAAACGACATATTTCTGACCGAATTCGCGAGCACAAATCAGATTTGAAACACGGCAGAACGAATTCTTCGGCCGTGGCTGATCATTGTTTCAACACAGCGGGTTCTCATGACATTGTTTTTTTTCCGATACCAAAGTACTCTGCAAAACCTCCCGGTTATTACCAAAGATTTGTCCATGAAGCCATCCAGATATACAAACATAGACACAACTTCAACCGAGAAGATGGTTTTAAATTGAGCAACCATTGGAAAGATTTTGATTTAAAGCTTTCGTGACTGCAGGGATTCATATTCTTGGTTCTTTCGGTAAAGTCACGTAGAAGGGAAACAATAAAATAATAAAAATATAAAACAATAAAAAAATAAAAAATATAAAACAATAAAATAATCACGACGTTTCGACTGCAACACAAGCAATCATAATCAGGTGTGAAAACCACAACTAGAAAATTTGAAAAAAGTGGCGGTTTTTTAACTTTAGCACCATGGATAGCGATTTGACAGTTTGTTCAGTTGGACGAGTCCATCTATGTTCGGAAAAGAGGAGGGGGGAGACGAAAAATAATGGATGCGGTCTGAAAGCCACCTTTAGCGTGATCAACCAATTAAGACCTGAAATGGTTTATCAAATCCTTCCAACGATTGCTAAGCCGGAATCCATCTTCTCGGTTGAAATTGTCTCTGTGTTTGAATGTGGATAGCCTCATGAACGAATCTCTCATGGTAGCCAGATGGCTTGCAAAGAACCTCTGTCTTGGAGAAGTCAATGTCATGTGAACCTACTGAATTATAACAGTGATCTGCCACGGCTGAGGTGTTGGTCCTACCGTGTTTCAGGTCTGCTTTGTGTTCACGGGGATCACAAAAAAGATCTCCAAAATCTTGAATAAACACAAGATCCAGGTCCGATTCAACACATTACATAAAATCCGTGATCTGGTTCCGTCTGTAAAAGATGTGATTCCGGACATACAGTACCCTGGCGTCTACAAACTAAGTTGCCTCGGACCGCATTCGTGAACACAAAGCAGACCTGAAACACGGTAGGACCAACACCTCGGCCGTGGCAGATCACTGTTATAATTCAGTAGGTTCACATGACATTGACTTCTCCAAGACAGAGGTTATTTGCAAGCCATCTGGCTACCATGAGAGATTCGTTCATGAGGCTATCCACATATACAAACACAGAGACAATTTCAACTGAGAAGATGGATTCTGGCTTCGCAATCATTGGAAGGATTTGATAAACCATTTCGGGTCTTAATTTATTGATCACCCTTAAGGTGGCTTTCAGACCGCATCCATTATTTTTCGTCTCCCCCCTCCTCTTTTCCGAACATAGATGGACTCGTCCATCTGCACAAACTGTCAAATCGCTATCCGTGGTGCTAACGTTAAAAAACCGCCACTTTATTCAAATTTTCTTGTGGTTTTCACACCTGATGATGATTGCTTGTGTTGCAGTCGAAACGTCGTGATAATTGTATTGTTTTATATTTTTATTATTTTATTGTTTCCATTGGAAAGATGTCATCAACCAAGTCAAACTTTAGCTGCCTTATAATTGTACAGCCATTTCCATGTCTTCCAGTGGGTTGTACTCGCTTTCATGCAGTGCACCACCGCTTCCCCCGAACCCCCTGCAGCATAACAAAAGGCGGCTTAACTTAGCCCCTCCCCCTCCCCACCCACGTGCTTCCTGGCTCCTCCCCCCCCCCTTAACCTGTATATAATCTCGGTTGTCTCAGAGCTCCTCACTTGATACAGCTTTTTTGCTGTGACTGTTCCACCTGAAGACGGAAGCTTGTGTTGCCTCCGAAACGTCGTGATTTAATTTAGTTGTTTTCATTAATTTTATTTTACCTACGTGACTTTACCGAAAAAAAACCAAAGAGTATTACTTTGGAGTTCAGGCGTCAACGTTTAAACAGTTTACAGATTTGGACAAAGTGAGTTATTGAGATTTGTGTTGGCATGGATGCGATTCGCCGTGATGTCTTATTAATCTTGAGAGCTGGGACATGACGCAAACGCATCATCATTGCTTCGTTACTTCAAGCGGCTTGAGATCTGAGCCTTCCTCACTGGATTCCCCACTATCCCAGTCCAGTCTGCAACCGAGGGGAGAGAAGAATAATTCATGAACCACATGTTACCGGAATGTTTGCGTGCAAAAAAAAAACTGTACAATATCGCATATCTGACTGCCACATATCCGCCCGGACCAATACATCGACCACACCCAGTGCAGTTATTTGTCCACGTATGTAAGTTGACTTTTAACTTCTTTCCCACCGTAGTATCCAACCGTGCTCATCGGTGGTGCTGGGGAAGAACAGCAAACTAACCATTAAAAAACTGTTCTAAAGAAATGGCGTTAGTTTGTCAGTATGCATAGATATTGCGATGTGCCCCCCCCTCCCCCCGCCCTGCAGCTGTCCACCCCTGCCATCCCCAGTTCACATATCGAACCATTTTCACATATCCGTCCATACCCCAGTGCTCATCGAGTCACATAGGCGGCAGTGTAATATACAGGAAATGCTTCAGAGCAGATGGTGAAAAGGTGCTGACAGCACGTAGACCTGGCACAAACTGCTTCGCAACGGTCTAACAGGATTGCATCACGTGATGACTTGCTAGAGGATGAATTGATAAGAACAGACACGGTACAATTTTTAATCACCATTTTATCCCCCCCCCCCCCCAAAAAAAAAAGCCACATCAGAGAGCATTCTTTAACAAATCCTTCGGTCAGCGAAGTCCCACAACTTGTAAATAAATGTCCACAGAGCATGACCACTAAGCGTAATAACAATTGATCAGGATTCTCCGTTGCTTGAATTGCCTCGATATATTTATTTTTGCCATCAGAGCTGGGATAATAGTTGCTTATCATTTTATAGTTGAACCTTCCGGCGGTGCCCCGGCTCTCGCACAATGTCCACGATGCGGTCACTTTTAGTCTGTTGATGGTCGGCGATGCGGCAATCGACTCATCTCGACGAGCTGCACACTACGATGCACCACCACCACGGTGCGTACCGCGAGCGTTCAGGGTTTCGCTCAATCGTCCTCGCTGCGTTTCGACATCGCGGAGTAGCACCGATGTCGGATCGAGTGGTACCCCAGTCGCGGAGTTTAGGTACACCCCTGGGAAAAAAAGTTTCCCAGAAATAAAATATTTAATTGCCTAGGCCATTTTGTATTATTTGGGCCCCCCGGGGTACCGCCAAAAGGATCAGTTATTGGCTATACGACTGCCACCAATCAGATCACTTGCCCCTTTAAAACCCAGTTTTCACAATCACAGCTGGCTGCTGTCAGCGTTTGAAACCCACATCTGAGTGGTTGCCGGCTCTGTGTTCTGGCCAAGGGCATCAGCCGGCCTCGCCATACGGCAGACTCCTCACCGATTACGACACAGAACATGTATTGGGGCTCGGCGTCACAGGGGGATTTCTGTCGTTGCAACACCAAGCTGACAACAAGTACATTATGGTACTCGGTCAGTATACGAGATAGATGGGGATAACATGTGATACGACTTCCGCATGCTGACCTTCGGAGCAGAACTGTTCGGAAACAAATATATAGCGGGAAGGGGTGCGGAAGGAAAATAATTCGAGCGAAATTTCCGATAGATTGTTTTTAGCAATTGTCACCCACGCGTAACATCAACCCAGAGTGTGGCAATCACGCGCTTACTTTGTGCTCGGGAGTTCCATTGTGTACAAATCCAAGAGCGAATTCTTGACTGGCCTGGCGTTTGCTGTGTCCAATTTTCCCAAAGGTTCCGTTGCCTTTATCTGCGCGGACGTTCGGTTAACACGACAGCAGCATTTTCCGTGGCGAATTATTAAGAGCACCGATGTCAAGAGTGACCTCAAATACCAATACCTTCAAGTCCACGTCGCTGAACAGACGCGCACACAGTCATTCCACCGAGGAGCGCTGCATTGTGATGTTTGTCTAATACTTTTGACGAGTGTTTTTCTGTTGTTGTGTTCGTGATCAATCTCACAGGGATGATGAGCAGCATAAATCCATGGCCGAGCTTTGCACCTAAATGATTTAACTGGCGATTTAAAGGCCCCCTTACCCCCACGTGGTTTTTTTGAAAGGTAAAAAAAATGGCACGTACAGGTCCAGCCTGCAATTCCTTACTCACGTCACTGCTGGCATAAGGACAACCACTAGCGTGAGCGCTAGAAATCTTCTCCAGAGGGTATTTGGGCCTTCTCTTCCAGAATTATCAGTCATCTCGGAAGGTGTGAGAGTACGCACAATTGACCCCAACACACACAGTGGCGCACGCATTTGCACTTCTTGGTGGAAGGAAGCAGCTGGTTTTAAGAAACTTGCACTATTGTTTCAACACCGTGGTGGCATCCCTTACTTACGAACTTGGCTTTAACTCAGTGGGACGTGGAAATCCTGAGTCAGCTACGATGTACGTTCATGGGCGCCACGGTGGTGAAATGAAAACTACTTCGCCTGGAAACAGGAGGTCGTGCGTTCTGGTACAGACCCTAACGCCTGTATATTAGGAGTTTGCATGTCTCACTCTCTCTGTGGATTTTTCTGGGTCCTCTGGTTTTCCCCTCCACATTTATAATCAACACGCATTTAGAGCGTTTGGCTGCTATACATCTCCACGTGATAAACCACTTCGTTGAGTTATCATTTGTGGCCAGGTCGCTTCTGAAAAAGAGCTATACAGCTCAGTGGGCCTTACCTGGTAAAATAAAAATAGTCTTGGTTCTTTCGGTAAAGTCACGTTGGAGGGAAGCAATAAAATAATAAAATATATATAAAACAATACAATTCTCACGACGTTTTGACTGCAACAATCAGTCATCATCAGGTCTGAAAACCAACGGCAAGAACATTTTGCCGTTGGTTTTCACACCTGATGATGACTGATTGTGTTGCAGTCGAAACGTCGTGAAAATTTTGTTATATATTTTATTATTTTATTGTTTCCCTTCAACGTGACTTTACCGAAAGAACCAAGAACATGAATCACTGCAGTCACGAAAGCTTTAAATCAAAAAAATAAAATAGTTTATAGCTTAGTTCATGATCAGCGCAATATGATGCCATTCATCTTAATTTGTGGCTGAGTGTGGGAATTCCAAATTTCCAAGGTGTCTTTCTCAAGGATGACTAATTGGTACTTATTTTAATTACCCTGGGGAGATTATGGACTGAGCCGATGCATACCTTGAATATGATCTTGTATCGTTCTTATTCATAATTAAATGTATTTTGGTAATACTGCTGCGTTGGAATTGGTGCACAATAACAATGAACAGAAAACTGAACACATTTGTCATCAAAAACTGCCTTCAAAGTTTTTATATATAAATTATCGACGTTGGGTGAAATGGTCGTTTTTCAGAGCACTCGTAGGTGGAGGGTTATAGCAAAAAGCAATTTTTTTTAAAATAATACCGACACGATCTAACCCTTAAAAAAACTAATTATTAATCATAATATTTAATCGTGAAAGCCTACATTATAAATGTGTATCCTCCTGAGTGTGATTTGGGTGCTCCAACCACAGCACCACCCAGCCAAACATCACAATTCAAGTTGTGCAAATATTTATAATTGTGCCAGCTGTGATGATGAATTAATCGCCCCTCATCATTATTAGGACCTAACATTTAATGAAAGTGCTGGGTAGCCTGTACTTATGAATGTTTTTTTTTTACTTTCACGAACTGACAGTTCAAATCCAACAGCTTCCCCATGCGTCTTTTACAGGCGAATTAACAACGTTTGCTGTCTGCGCTGGAATGAATACTAATGACCGTGTGGCATCATTTTGATGGCTAGCACTGCTGACCCCACCTCTCATTGCTTAAAGCACCTTGGATGGTCTAATAAAAGAGCGTCGTGCCACTTTATGTACGCGCATATGTAGGTTGAACCTCTCGGCACGTGGCCAATCGTGCTGATCATAGGTGCGGGGGAAGGACAGCACAACTAAACACACTTTTTCAGTTTAATCGAGACGTTGCAGGTTCAATCTCCTGGCACGGCAGTGGAAATACTGGGCAAGTATTTTTTTTTAATTCGCCTAATCTCACCCCCCTCCCTCGCTGCCAGTGTCCACTCAGCAGTAGAAATGGGTACACCACAGGTCCTCATCCAGATCCAGAAGAACGCCGATGAACAGAGTGGAGAAAGGCAGGCTTCCAAAATAAACACCTCATTCCAGATCCAAACATCGCACCTCCTGATGTTGACATTCACTCAAAGACAATTGGGTTAACATCAACCGCATCAGAACATCATCAACAGGTCGATGGGCACATCTCCTCCATGAATTGAACATTAGAGACAAGCCACAGCTGTGTGACTGTGGCCATGAAACACAAACTATGGACCACAGAGGAAACCATTGTAGTCTGTGGAATAGCAGAAAACTATACGAACTCTCTCCTGAAGCCCTCTCGTGGCTAGCAGACCTCGATATTGGCATTTAGCTCCCGAACAAATTGCTACATGTAATAATCGAATCGCGTTCCAGGTGGAAAATTTCAACCTTTGACTGCAGGTAATCACGGGCAGAGAGAAGCCGGAAGGCTTCTTGCTTGATCAGGGTAAGGTAGGCGGCAATGTTTTGGTCTGTGACTCCTTCCTTCCAAGCCAAGCCTTGCTTGAGCTCTTCCAAATTGCAGTCCATTTTCATGAGCAAATTCCACACTCCTACAGAACAAACACGCACACTCAACAAAAACGATCCTATCGTTTACGAATGTATACGTATCAAGACCTCCATTCGACGTCTCCACCGAAACATTTTACTTTTAGTCATTGACCCATTGGCTTCTCAGGAAAATATTATCAAGCAGCGTTTGTTTAAGCACGCAAACTCTGGACAAATTTCCACCTGCTGGGACAGATCAGCATGAGGCAGGCTTGTTAAACGAGCACTGCAGTGTTATCAAATGTTATTGACAAGGGTGCTCCATTTAAATGATGGGGGGGTTGATCAACGGCAAAAAAGGCAATGTGGTATATACGTTTCTTACGTGTTATTGCGGGCCATTGTGGGTCAGAGCATGCACGAACACACCTCAACGTTATTTTAGGGAGTATATTTAGGAAACCTCCTGGTGGTCACTCGCTCGCTGTCAGTTAAATTAATTTCACGTGTTAAAAAAAAGTTTAAAATTTAAAATATTTCCAATTCTCTCAGTCTTTTTGAGCAAGTGGTGTAACTTGAACATTCCAATAATAATAATATAGGTCAATCACTCAACAGGAGATCTGGGGTTGGCTTCCCAGGGACCGGTATATATTGACTCAAGCCATCATCTCCCCGGGGAGATGATGGGTTGAGTCAAAACCTGATTGACATTTTCACTCACACAATTCCCATCATGAGTCAATGGCTCTAACTAAAGTGCCACCCAGGTGAATTACAAAATATATGTTCGTATAAACGTATATTTCCAGCCCTTTGTCAATCAACGGCTGCATGAAGGCCTCCCCATGCTGTCTTGGGAGTTCATATTCTTAGCACTTTCGGTAAAGTCACGTTGAAGACAAGCTGGTCAGTACAGCTTGGTGAAGGGAGGACCAAGGACCGCTCCAGACACCGCTTGCCACTGCTGCTGGGAATTGAAATTGGGTCACCAAGTCCGTAGTGAAGTGCGCGAAACGTTTCACCCAAAATGACATATTATAAATAACGTAAGAAAATGTATCCAGAAAATGTCGATTGAGTTTCAAGAACCCCTTATTTCAAGTGAGCGCTGCACTGGAATGTTTATCTAATTGCTCATCGGGCAATCGAGTAGTGTACTTGGCAGGTGTTGTGCTGCTCTGTAGCTTGTGAACAAACTCGAGGTGAGAATGTCTAGACTAGACTGAATCAACTTTTTTATATTACCAGGTAAGGCCCACTGAGCTACATAGCTCTTTTTCAAAAGGAACCTGGCCACAAATGATAGCTCAACCAAGTGGCCGATCATGTGAAAATTTACAGCAGCCAAATGCTCTAAACGCATGTTGATTCTGAATGTGCAGGGAAAAACAGGAGGACCCGGAGAAAAATCGACGTGATTTCAGGTAGAAAGACACGCAAACTCCAAATATAAGAGGAGTCAGGGTTGGAATTGATCCCACGACCTCCCGCACACCAGGCGAGGCAGTTAACATCTCGGCACAGCGGCGCCGCAACGCCAATGCAGGTCTCACCTTCCTTTAGCTTGCCGAGCGTTCCCTCGGCGTCTGCCCGCTTCTTATCGCTCATCTCCTTCTCAGAGATGACCCTGCAAATGTTCACCCGCACGGCTTTCTCCCTTTCGTCAGGGGTCCCCTCTGGACCACCGCCGCGTGGCTCCATGTCAGCGCTGAGCTAAAACACACGCGGGCACATTGGCGCAATCATAAGTTCAACTGAGCTCCGGACGCTTGCATGTACGTACGTTGAACTTCACCGTACATAGTCAAACGTGCTCCTTCGGAGGTGCGCTTGGTTGTGCGACGCGAGAGTAATCAGAGATCCGTCCCCCCTCCACCCCACAGCTATCGCCGCCAGTTTTCAAAGCCACGAAATAAATGAGAACACCCGTCTGGTGGTGATGAATAGGCAACCGGAGATGTTTGCAATTGCTGCATGAACACTTTTTTTAATATGTACATCATAATACTTGGAAGCCAATTACGTTTAATTTCCCCATACGCACCCTCTCGAGCATATGAGCCAGTCAAATTCCTAAGTGGATAACTCATATTTGATCTATAGCAGTGGAATAAATAAATACAGCTCCTACCTTTCATTTATTGGATAGATTGGGGTTATTTTTGTTGTCGGGGAGTTGATTTCGTGATATTTTAACTACTGGTGTCAGTTGGTGCCAGCCCCTTGGCGTGACCTTGTTTTAAAGAGGATGGCAGACAGAAACTCTGAGTGGCTGGAGGGTGGGGGGCATGACACTGTCGATATTAAACAAACTTAAAACCAATCAATGTTAACCGCTACATTTAAGAACGGGTAACAATCCGCCTTGTCTACCGTGCTTTCTACTGTGGCTCTCGCCCTCTCCCTGTGTACGTGAGGCCAAGGCTCAAATGCCCATCGCTCAATTGTACCAAATGTTGCATTTTGTCCAGGCCCCCTCCACAGACTGCAGACAATTTATCATCATCACCGTGCTAGATAGTCGAGTCAAAGTAAACCTCACACATTTTCGACTGTCAATAACTTTTTTTAACTTCGGCGCTACCCCTTCACACCTCCCATTAGCACGGTTGCCTACGTACGGTGCGAAAGAAGTTCAACATACACACTCTACATACATCACCATCATGAAGCTCGCAAAATAAATGAAGGGCACTGTGGCAGATCAAATGTAATTGCGTGCAAACATTGAAAAAATATTGTACTCACAATGTGCCCCCCCCCTTTGATTATAAGAGTTTAGAATGTTGTGGGGGTAGGGGGGGGTCTCAGCCCCCTCCAGACCCCCACAACGCTACAGGGCGGCGTTGATTCGTGCGTACAGCCAAGTAACTAAAATCAATTGTTGATTACAAAGAGATGGCACCGTCAAGTGTATAAATCACCCACTTTTTGTTGACTTGCAATCGAAGAGATTGCAGATGTATGTTTGCCAATCTCTTTGTAAGCTATAAAAGCGCTTATATGTGGGGGGTTTCTCCAGCCCCGTCGTGCGTCGAGCGCTTCGGAGGCGATGGTTAGCGGATCAGACACATTTGTGGAGCTCCCAAACCCGCCGGGCTGACGTGCCTGGGGAAAATGGCAGTTCAGCAAGTGGTATCGATCTACCTGTGTGGAGCTTTGTGTGATTATCCCCTGATATCCAATACTCGAAATGGAATTGTTTCATCCAAAAATCCCAGCGCAACATCCTCCTTAAAATGAGTCTTGACGGTGAACTGAGGCTTTCATAGATTAACGAAGTGTATTCATATATACTGTATTGTGAATACTGGCAAAACATTCTAAATCAGGACCCTCTTGAAACATTCTAGAACTTCTAATTTGTTAACATTAACAAAATACAAACATTCGCATAGCTCCGGTGCATTGTACGTGTTGTTTGGCACGATGCCCGGAAGACAGTTCCAGCGTGTGGAGCGAAACGTCGGACATCGTACAACTCGCAGGCAACACGTCGGAGAACTCCACCAGCAGCACAACCGCGAAAAAAATCCTCGCGGAGAAACATTTATCTCGAACGTTCTAAAAATATATAACGGCAAAAAAAATCCAGCGGTGAGATTTTTTATTTTATTTTATACCTACGTGACTTTACCGAAATAATCAAAGAGTATGGATTCCTGCAGTCACGAAAGTTTCAAATCAAGATCGATTGAATACGTCAATTTACAAACCTAATTACTGCGCGTTGAATGTATCACTGTCGCCACGCTTGTAAACGCAGTGCGATGAGGATGGCATAGAATGCCAATGCATGGGTTTGGCAGGCTACGAGAAGCGAGGAATGCAGAGAAACAGCAGGAGAGGGATCGGGGGTTGGGAAAACAAACGTCCCACAGCACGCTTGCCTACCAGCACGGGTAAATAGAAGCCGCGCGACAATTGAGGTGATAATGCATAGGTGTGTGCGGTGAACTCTTCAGTACCGCGTGCTCTGCGTGAAGCTGCAAATCCATATGGTCGACTGAAATGTGAAATCACTGTAAGACCTGTGTGGAATAATAATTACGGTCGCTGCAATAGCATTCAAAGTGTGCGTAATGTCACTTTATCTTCGGCTAAATGGCTATTTGCAGCTTTTCAGTCTGTTATTTACATAAATAAGAAGTCGGAGATCAATTTAGGATATGAATTATGTATGAATGTTGAACTTCTGTCGCACCGTACGTTGTCAACCGCGCTAATCGGAGGTGCCGACATAGCACTGGATATCAATTCCAGCCATTCCCAATCCACCAATAGATATCTTCTCCCCGTGCCGGGTCATACACGTGGATGTCTTTGACCATTCTTCACCACGCTGGTGAGTACAGGTTCCTGAGGAGGAAGGCAGGGAATGACCAGTTCTGATCTCACTCGCCACCGATGCTAGCCATAGCTGGAAATTGAACTCAAGTGGCTGGATTCATAGCTCAGCACACACCGCTGTACTCCTGCTCCACCCCTGATTTACCATTATATTTCATTATTTCAAGAGACTTCTCATATGGAAGTTAATGGAGGAGAAGTCGTAGTTTGTGACAAATAAGACGAATATGATATACCTATTATAAGTAGATGGGTCACATATATTGAAGGTAAGTGTGTTTGTATTAATTATATACTCGGTTAACCTGGAGTGGATCAACTTTGTTCCAATGCGGCTTTGCATAATTCAATTATAGGCCCCCATCTGCTGCCATGCTGCTGTGGTTGTGTACACGACTGACGTATCGGAGATCGCCAAATTGATCTCCTGATACTAAACTAAAACGAAACTATTTTTGATTTTACCAGGTAAGGCCCACTGAGCTATACAGCTCTTTTCCAGAAGCGACCTGCCCACAAACGATAGCTCAAATGTAGTGGCTTATGACGCGGAGATTTAGAGCAACCAAATAGTCTCAACGCGTGACGTTGAGGGGCCGTCGATAAATGACGTCACGCGATTTTGGATGATCTTTGACCCCCCTCCCTCGTCACACGGCGTCACAAATTGATTTTTCCAAGACGAAGGTACTCTGCAAACCCACTGGCTATCAACAAAGATTCGTTCATGAAGCCATCCAGAAAAATAAACACAGACACAGTTTCAACCGAGAAGATGGGTACAAACTGAGCAATCATCGGAAGGACGTTATTAACCAGTTTAAGTCATAACTGGCTGTGATGTTTCCATCCTACCTGCCGATGTCAGCAGTTATTTATGACTCTCTGAGTTACATTCACGCTAAATGTCTCATTAACACAGCCACCATTGCTCCTTGTCCTCGAGTTGGCGGTGTGCCTCGTTTTCTGAAGAGCTGGATGTCTCACAAGCACAGCCACCGTTGCAGTGGTTCGCTTACATTGACATGCTAATCTCTCTCAATACAATGGCCACCTCCACAGCTGCGTCGTCGTGGAGGTATATCAGCTCTCCGATCTTACATTGACATGCAAATTCTATCTCTAGCCCCGCCCACTTACCCTTGGGCTACACCCATCTTTAGCCCCACCCACTTACCCTTGGGCTACACCCATCTCAAACCTATATAACATCCTGCTTCAGCAGCTCTCCGATCTCACATTGACATGCAAATTCCATCTCTAGCCCCGCCCACTTACCCTTGGGCTACACCCATCTCAAACCTATATAACATCCTGCTTCAGCAGCTCTCCCGCTATATTTTTTCACCTGATGACGATTGCTTGTGTTGCGATCTATCTACGTGGTTTTACCGAAAGACCCAAGGAATATGCATTCCTGCAGTCACGAAAGCTTTAAGTCAAGATTTAAACAAAGATATTGGCATGCTGCCCTGGGGCAGTAGCGCATAGCCACACAAATCAAAACACTCAACAGGCTAGCCAATAACTCTCTTCAATTTGTCTTATTCTTTAAGGCAGTAGAACAAGTATGTTCATGAAATCCATCTGGGGAGACCTTTGCGTGATTACCTCCCCGCATGTGTGCTGGGTTTTCTCTCGGAATTTCAATTGCTTTCCACAAGAAGCAAAACACTCACGAACGTAGATGCGGCCACACATCATTACAGGGGACCTTCCCGATGAAACGTCTCGAGACTGAGAGAAGACTTTCCAGTTGAAAATAATAATGTAATTGTTGTACGTCTAAATCATAGCGCATTCAAGAGTCACATTGTTTTATGTAAATTATAGAGGATGTTGAAATGCCTCTGGGGTAAAGCGTGGGGATTTCCACCTCTTCCAAGACGAGTAAGCCAAAGAATCCTCTGGAAGGAGCCTCTATAAAGATCCCTATGGTCAAGGCTCTTCCACCGTTATTGAGCAATTGCAGGGTTGCACGCTCATCTATCTGAATCAGGTGGAATGACCGCCCCAGATCAGTTTCAAGGAATAAAAATTGGTTCAGAATTGAATAACGCTCATAATCTGAACCACATGATTGCGTCCAAATAAAACCCAAACTCTGCACTTTTAAATTATATGAAGAGAGTGTTAGCAATAGTTAGCAATCAAATATTTATTTGCATGACATGATTATATATTTATCAAATAGATGAAAGTGTTTCATATCCTGATCTTAGACATTTTTTTAAATTACAAATCCATTTCTACATTGCTAATTAAACGAAATGTTAATTTGTTTTAAGAAGTGTTTTCATAGCTTTTTTAAGCCAGTTATTCTGAGTATTTCATCTTAAGAATTTGCGAGAATTAATTATATATTTAACCTCTCCCATACATACCTTTTCAATGTCATCCTTAAGTTTTCGAATTTCACATTCCTGTTCTGTCACGTAGTTGAAGAGAGCGAAGTTGGCATTCTCTCCTGCAAGAAAAAAGCATTCTGATGCACGTGGCACTAACCAGAACAGGCATCCGGGAATAATGGCTAAAGATACAGGATTGTGGTTTAACATTTGCAAACGAAGGATTTCTAATAAAAAAAAACTTTAATTGCTTCAGCACTGAGTCTTCAATGCTTGTGAAACCAGACAATGCAATCGCAGTGTTTGTGTCGTGGAACTCGGTAGCGACTCATAACCCATGACTACAATCCCAACGCATGTTGTGGAATTCCAAAGCAAAGAGAATTAGAGCCGAGCTATCCGATTGCTCAAGCAACCAACCACTTTGCCCATTATCGGTTCGATTGCTCGACTACTCAAAAAGAGTTGCAAATTACCCCATGTATCACTTCCGTTCCCACAAAACTCACCCCGAGCCTGGCGACTCCTTAACCGCACGAGGCTGGCTCTGAACGGCCCCAGCACGGCTCGGTTGTACCAGCGAAAAACAAAAACAAAAACGGATACCAAAAAAGCCTCCTCCTTCTCCTTTTGCGCAATCCAACGCTGCAAGCGGGCCTCTTACTGTCCACGTAGGTGTCGTGGATGAAGTCCGCGTTCAGGCGGAGATCATTGCCCCAGGAGGCCCAGTCATTGCGGTGGTGCCTGGCGCACGCCGGGGGCCCTCTTGCTTCCTCGCCCACGCTGAGCTGGGTCGAGCCCTGGGCCGGCTCCGTCAGCATGCCACTGGCGCGGCGGCGAGCCGGCGCGGGGCCACCGTGGCCCGGCGCCACGCTGCCGCGACGACGGACGGCGGCGCCACCTGGGACCCCCGGTCGCAAGCAGACGCAACGCAACAACGCTCTGCGTGAAGGCAACCTCGCCGGCTGCGAGGGCCCAGCGTTTGGGTTTCCCAGCCCGGGCCGTGAGTCGAGCACAAGCGCGGTCGCCTTTCACGTCGAGCATTTGTTGCCGCTGACGCACTGCCGCCGCAAGCATCTTCGCGAGCTGTCGTTGCCCTGCGCGGGATGGCTGCAATGTGTTCGCGCAGCAGCGATGTGTTGGGGCGCCGCTGTGGCGAGATGTTAAGCATCTCGCCTGCTGTACAGGAGGATCATGGATTCGATCCCGACCCTGATGCCTGCTGTCTATTTGGAGTTTGCGTCTCTCTCTCTCTCTCTCCCCGTGGTCGCGTGGATTTTTTTCTCCGTCTCCTCCGGTTATTCCCTCCACATTTAGAAACGCGCGTTTCGAGTGCTTGGCTGCTATACATTTCCACGCGATGAAAAGCCATTTCGTTGAGCTATCATTTGTGGCCAGGTCGCTTCTGAATAAGAGCTGTATAGCTCAGTGGGCCTTATCCGACACACGTGCGCCATGAAACACTTGCGAATCCCAAGCGCTCGGCTTTGACGTGCGCGTACCTGGAAACGAGCCGTCCCTCGGCTTGTCCATGGACACACCGGCCACTTTCACGTTGGCCTCGCCATCCGATTTTGCGACGTCCTCGTGGGCCTCTCTCTCCGCGATGATTTTGCTGACTTGTGCCACCGCCGCCTCGTACTCGCACAGCGCCTCGAAGCCCTCGGCCCTTTGCCTTTGCCGCGCGCTCTCTGCGAGCGAAGGAAACAAACAACCCCGAGCGGTTATCCGAACGGGTTCGTGCTCGACGTCGTGACCACGTGTCCTTTCGATACAGACAACCCGACGTTTCGCTCCCCCAGGACCGAACGATTCGGTTCCTGAAGGAGGCTCCTGGCACGCGGCGGCGAAACGTCGGACAGCGTCCCGAACAAGACGCGCCGCGGCGAGCTTCACGCATGACGAGGAACATCTTACGGAGTAGAAGTAAAACAAAGTGATCGGGGTAAGTGGGTGGCGACTCGTGATGTTACACGATCAGTTCTGCCTTGTTCCTATTCACAGAATCGTCATTCGAAACACTAATTTCTTGAGAGCTGCTTTTTGTGTTAAGTTTGCTCCCCTTCCTCAGCACCTCCGATGAGCACGGTTGGCTACGTACGGTGCGAAAAAGAAATTCAACACACATACATGCATGCATTCATTGGCCGGGTGATGCCCTTCATTTATACACGTCGCTTTTTGCGAGGTATACTTGCGACGTGTTTTTTCGTTACGAGTACGATTGTTCAACTGCCGACCGCTGACCCCAGGCTGGGCTGCAAACAGGAATCAGCGGCCCCGCTCCGACCCACGCACGCTGCTGTCCGGCGTGTTATTTGTACAGGTGAGCGCGTATCCGCAAGCCCCATTCATTACCCACGGGGTGATTCCATCTTATCTGTAGCAGCGCAGGGAGAGAGAGAGAGAAGCAACAAAAATTAACCCGCGGATAATTGTGGGCTAATTGTGAGAACAGGGACGTGGACGATAGAAATCGTCGCGGCTGCTATGGCTCCCGCGTGTCGAGGCAGGGTCGCGGTGGAGAGAAGCTTCTCCTGTCACAAGTAACGTGAGTGTTATCTATTAAACTATTAAGCTGCATTTTTTTCTATTTTACCAGGTAAGTCCCACTGAGCTATACAGCTCTTGTCCAGAAGCGACATGGACCACAGATTGTAGGCCAACGAAGTGGCTTTATCACGTCGACATTCATAGCAGCCAAATACTCTACACGCACGTGGAGGGGGGAAAAAACAAAACAACGGAGTACCCGGAGAAAAAATCCACTCGACCATGGAGACAGCGAGAGGGAGAGAGGCAAACTCCAAATATACAACAGGTGTTCGGGGTTAGCGTCGAACACCCGCGACCTCCTGTATACCCGACGAGCTAGTTAACATCTCGCCACCCAGGCGCCCCGTGATCGGGGACGTTGGAGGCACCTCGCTTGCTCCGCGCGCGCAGCCACAGCTCGTCCGCCTGCCGCCTCTTGTTCTTGTCGAGGAGGAAGGCGTCGAGACGGTTCGCGGCGTCGGCTCCCCGCCTCTGCTCGCGCTGCTGCCCCTCACGGCGCTCCCTGTCGACGGCGGCGCTCCGACGGCGCCGATCGAGCTCCTCCGTCGCCTCCCGCCTGCCCAACGCGACAGCGCCCCGCGTCACCTGGTTGTTGTGGTTGTGGTTGTTGTTTGACTTGCATCCCACTGGGGATTTTTTTGCACACAGCGTTGGTGTGTACGGTGCTATTTCAGGAATATTTTGATGTTTTTTTTTCCCCCCCCCCGGATTTTCTGTTTGCACAGTCACGCATAGTCACTTTAAGAAGTTTTTCTTGTTCGTGTTTTTTTGTTTGTTGCGGTTGCACCCGATTCAAGAGCCGAATGGCTCACAGGGCTATACCAAAATAAATGAAACTATGGAACTAATGAACTATGGCTGCTGCTGTGGCTTCTACTGCTACCGGGACGTGCGTCGTGACGCGGGCGCCCGCCCGCTCGGTCTTGGCGGACCCGTCCGACTGTTTCGGCCACCATTTGCGTTTTCAAGTCGCCTCCCTATCGCTCGACTATCGCTGCTAGCTACTAAAAACCCATTCAACTTTAATTTTAATTTTTACCAGGTACAGCCCCACTGAGCTGCGTAACTCTTTAACGGAAGCGACCTGGGCCACCACAAATCACAGCTCAACAAAGTGGTTAATCAAGTGGACATTTATAGCAGACATATGTGGAGGGAAAAACTGGAGGACTCGGGAAAAAAACAAAAACATCCGCGCGACCACAGGGAGAACGTAGAAACTCCAAATATACAGGCGTTAGGATCGGGATCGAACCCATCATGACCTCTTGCGTACCAGGCAAGCGAGTTAACATCTCGCCACCGTAACGCCCTACTGCCTTTGCTCCTCCTCCCGCTACCGTGGTTGCCGTTCCCGTGAACTTCACCTCGTCAAATCCTCCACACACCTTGAGGGCTTGGTCTCCACCAGACTCACCGTTTCATCCCATCCGCACTGTGGTTTAACCACCACGCCGCATCTGCGCTGTCTGTTTACATACGCCCCCTTATCGCTCGTTTAACGCTGCTTATGTGGTTGCTGTTCCCGTGAACTTCACCTAATTGATTTCCCTACCGATGGTGAGGAATCATTCAACCAGACTAACTGTCTTGTTTCATCCACACTGTTTCAACCACCAATCTGCAAGTCACAACAACACACCTCACCCACCCACCCATCTACTCACTCACCTATTCAATCATTCAAAGACAAAGATCTGTGCTGTTAGCGAGCACCTATGGAGGCTGGCACGGTACACGAGGGGGTGGTTGGCCAGCAACAACGCCCGGCCGCCTTTGTCTCACGAGTTGTGATGTGAAAACATCACCCCAGGTATTCATTGGAGGCTGAGTCGACCTAGGGGAGGCGCAGCACCGGTTCAGATCATCGTCACTGGCGTTGGCCGTGAGCGGGAATTGAACTCGGGTCGCCGGCCTTGCATCGCTGTGCGCTAACCGCTCGACTGCCGGTCCCACCATCCCACTCACCCACTTGCTCAATCACTCACCACCCCGAATGTGCCAATGCTTCTGTCTCCTCTTCTTCCCTCGCACTGCTGAGCCTTGGGATTCTCTCTCATAATCTCCTTGCTCGAGTACTAATAACCTTGCCCGATTCAAGAAACGTATTAACTCTTATCTGTTACACCTTCGAATAGTGGCGGTCGTTTTAGCATATTGGACATTTGGGTCTGTGAGTAAAAAAAACAAGTTGGCAACTGTCCACCAATGCAATTCACGCCAGTGCTACTACTTGTCTTCTTAACATTGAAGGCACGGGGCAGGACAACAAACTAAATACAAAGAGCAGTTTCAAAGAAGTGAGTTTTTCAATCTAGATTTAAAAGTTCAAAGCTCCAGTGGCCTCCTGATATCGGAAGGAAGAGCGTTCCAGACGGCCGTAGAAGCGCACCTGAAAGCACGCGATGCGGTGACCGGATCTGTTCGCTGGCCAGCCAAAAGCTACTGCGAGGAAGACCATAGTTCGCGTGATGGTTTATATCCCTTGACGAGATCAGCGAGGTATTATGGTTCACCAACGTGATGGGAGCTTCTTCAGGAACGACTCTGTTTAGGAACGTCTCAGTTCATGAAGCTGCCGAGTAAACATGTGACTTAGATTTGAATTCACAACCGAAAGATTGTGTGAGTCAAATGCTCCAGTCACCACGCGCTATTTGGTCAAATAGCGCGATGCGACGTTCTGAAGTACTGTACGTGGAAAAATTAACTGATTCATTCGACTTGGCCTTGACTGTGTCACAGCACGCAATGTGTGTGTGTGTGGGTGTAATATTTATTGCGGCATTATTTCAGTGATACAAGAAAATATTGAAATCAAACCATGATTGGAAAACTTCTTTGCCAGCATCCATCTTTGCTGATGTCTCTCTCCTCAACTCATCCAATTCCTGTGAAGCAACCATAGCAGTAACAATCCTTTTGTAACATTAATTTTACACACTCTACAATATACAAGTATTATTTCCAAGGGAGGCATTTCCACGTATATATATAAAACAAATCAAGCACAACAGTGTATGAATTTAATTTAGTGGGCCGATGTAAAATTCAGCATTACATTTTGCTATTACAATCTCCATATAATGTGTTCGTTAAATAGCCCCTGGCGCTACGCATTCAATTTAGATCACAATAAATATTGAATAGCTTCTATCAATAGCCAGAAACCCGTTAATTTGTTTTTGCTTCACAGTGCAGATAGATAAGGTGTCATAAGTTAAGCTGAAAATGTAATTTACAGAAATGCAAACCCTGCCAAAATTTGCGTGGGCTACTGCTTCTTCCCTGTTGAGGGTCTGAAGCAAGGAAGTAATGAATCCACGTTTATCGGCTGCCGACGCAAAGAAAAGTGGTTATTATTTATTCAGATATCTCGATGGTCGGTAAAACTCAGCCAGGACTCAAAGAAGCAATGATGGGTTTTAAATTAAAATCTTGAGTCACGTTAATTTTTATACCCAATTTCAGATTTTATTTTTCTCTTTTCAGATTTAAAAGTATTATATTTTAATACGTCTTCATTGTTTATGCACTCAATGTAACCACTTCATTTGTTTTAAACCTAGTAATATAAACTTGTCTCAAAAGCCTGCCTTATTTTAATGTTTTTAAAATATTTTATACATTTTTTGGTGTGACTTTTTCACTCCATGAATTAGCAAATTGCGAGCTCATCATATTTCTTCCACAAAACATTCATTTGCAGGTTGCACATTGAGATGTGTTGTGAATTGGCCATGTATTGGATGTTTATGATAATGGCGGCTATGTAAATGATGATTATGGCCATGATAACGATGAAGACAATAATGACGATGGTCATGATGATGATGATGATGATTATGGCCATGATGGTATAATACTATGCTACATTTGTGTGGCGCACAAAACCTGCCTTCTGCAGCTTCTGGAGGACCTTGTGAAACCTGTCCCTCTCCCATCTCATCGTTTCGATCTCCTTGCGGCTATCTGCGATGTCTGTCAACAAGGAGCTGAACTTACCCTCCGCCTGCACAGGAGAAACAACCACCTGAGTCACAGAGGCATTGGAAATTCTACAGAGGTCAATAATCGATACAAAAGACAAGAATGGCTGAATTTCCTACGAAGTGGAATTTTATTTATTTATTTATTATCAACCCCAACAGATTGATAGGCTGAGTCAACCTGAACTCTGATTTGAATTGGAAAAAAAATCCCATTTCAGTGTAAGTGTCCTTTTCAAGGTTCCGCGAAATATGCACTTGTGGAATAGTGCAAGTGAATATATGTACGGTTGTGCTGCTGCATAGCTCTCCGATGCGTTTACAAATCGTACTACAGTTTGTTAGGCATCATGTCCGATATTTTTCTTGTATGTATATTGACCTTCTTTCACAACCGCGCTAATTGGAGGTGTGGTGGAAATACAACAAACTAATTACAAAAAGCAGTCCTATAAAAAAACTAGTTTTCAATTTAGATTTAAAAGGGCATAGCTCCAATTGTTTCCTAATATCGGAAGGAAGAGCGTTCCAGACCGCCGCAGAAGTGCATCTGAAAGTGCGTGATGCAGTGACCGTCTTTGTATGTGTAGTGGGTTCCACAGAGGCACACAATTGAATTCGAAGGCACCACGTTTATGTAACAACCCCAACATGGTAAATCCCTAAACGTACAACGTAGCTAACTAGACCCCAACGGGGTCACTACATAACTGGGTCAGGCCAGCAACGTCTGCCTGACCCACGATGCCGAGCGTGACGACCGAAGACCGACGACGAGGAGACGTAGCACGGCGACGTGATTCCAGAAGACAGCAGCGATTGCTCTCGGACCATTCCCTCTTATGCTGCTGAGCGTGACCTTGCTCCACCTCCCGCCACGCCCCCTTCTGGATCTCTCCAGAAGGATCTGGAGCCAGCATCACGTGTCCCTCAAGCCCCCTTTGGGCCCCCTGGCTACCATGTGCCGGTCACGTGCACTCTCGGGTTCACCCAAACGGTCAAGTCCTCACGTGACCTCTCTCCGCCCGTCAATGGGACCCTGCCATCTAGGGCCCGCTTCCCTGTCATACCCACGCCCGTGCCAGAGAGAGGCTCAAGACGCACAGTTACAGGCTTGTGACCCTATATGGCGCACACGCCATACTGACTCTATTAACATCACTACATATGCACGAGTGTGCATCGTGCCCACATATATAGTTGGAGGTTATGTGCTAATTGACTTTTTTGGGAAACCAATTCCGGCAAATAAAAAATAGAAATCTCGGTGTTGTAGGCGGAGATTGTGCGACATTTAAACGATGGATGATAACATTCCCGGGGTACCTTTTCCACCTGTGAGGTGAGAGTTTGCATTTTCTTTGGAAGGTCCTCCTCTTCATCGGTGGGCCTTTGCACTTTGCGCAATTCTTCCACCGCTGTTTTAATCTAGAAAGGAGGGCACACATTTGTGGGTAAGGTATTAGGTTGCTGTCGTTTTAAAGCACGAAGCACGCATGATCTCGCGCCCTCATATATTCTGCACGTATTACACACAAAGTGCTTGCCACAAATGAGCCACAATACCTTGTTGATCTCGTCAAGGAGCTTAAACCATCACGTAAACTCCGGTCATTCTCGCATTAGCGCGCTTTCAGATGTGGTTCTGCGGCCGTCTGGAACGCTCTTCCTTCCGATGTTCAGATGTTACTGGAGCTATTCACTTTCAAATCTAGATTGAAAACGAATTTCTTTACAACTAGTTTGTTGTCCTTCCCCACACCTCAGATTAGCATGGCTGGCTACGTACGGTGTGAAAGAAGCTCAACTTCACGAGGGATACATTCTAGAGCTGAGGCTGCCACCCCCACTTTCCAACACGAACACTGAGGTCGGCGCACTTAGATCTCCTCTCCCATCTCCAGAAGGAAGCTCAGATCCGTCATGGGCGATCGGGCCTTTGCTTCCATGGCACCTGAGCTGTCGAATTATCTGCCGAAGACCGTCTGGGGAGAGTCCGGTTCAGCTGAACTCTTCAAGTGACGATCTATAACCCATTCCTTATTCAGAAAGCATTTCCACTTCTTACCTATCACCACCCCCCCCTCCCCCCCCCCCCCCCATTGTCATTGATGTAACGTGCCTTGAGATGTTATGATTAAAGGCACTGCATAAGCGGTAAGTATGATGATTACAATAAAACTATGAACGTGTTACTCTACACCTCGCCACATCAGAGCCATCTCCCTGCTCAAACAAAAAAAAACACGGAGCAGCGCTCGTCTCCATTCGTGGTCTCGACCCAGGGGCGGAAATTCCACGTTCCCACTGCGGCGGCCAGCCCCTTCCACAGCACAACCACCGTCCACTTCCAAACAGGGTAGTGGCCACTTTTATTGACATGGGATGAATGATTGGCTGAGCACGACCGTAATTGGGATTGGATCCACACAACACGATGAATTATGTGAGTCAATCGCTCTGCCACAGGGTCAACCGGCTGATCGTTGATGCACTACCAAGGCTATGTTAACTGCATTTAACATACATCAGCATGCACAGTGCTTAGATGGGGGGCCACAACAAGTGTAAATTGTTTTGTATTACTGCCTCATAAAACAGGTGATATAGGCTGCTGTGTGGGGCTACTTTGCAGGAAGTGCTGCAAAACAATTGTTGTACTGTACTTGCAGGCACCCAGTTTCTATGCTCTCTGTATTCGGCAACACGCGCTAACCAGCGTGGTGAAGTATGGTCAAACAACCTCCCCACGACCAGCACAGCGTGGGCAGGCCCTCCTCCAGCAGTGGACCAAACAAACGAGCTGTGCATGGACGTGTAGACAAAGACAAAGATCCCCCGTATAGCCTTAACAGACTGTTGGGGCAATTGCTGTGAGCGAGCACCTATGAAGGCCGGCTCGGCAGACGAGGAGGAGGGTGGCCAGCACCACGCCCGGCCGCCTTTGTATCCATAGTGGTGATGTTTACTACACACCGCACCAGATACTAATTTAAGGCTGAGTCGACCTAGGGGAGCCCCAGGATCTGTTCAGATAATCGTCACTGGTGTTGGCCGTGAGCGGGAATCAAACCTCAATCGCCAGGTTCGTAGCGCAGCGCGCTAACCCTGCCGCTCTACTCTTTGGGTTTTTCGGTAAAGTCACGAATAAATAAGAAATAATAAAATAACATAATAGCGTACGACGTTTCGGTTGCAACACAAGCAGCCATCATCAGGCACAGAAGAGCTAAATTTACGAGAGAGGGGAAACACATAACCCCAGATGTATATAGACACCCAAGTAGGGGGAACTAACACAGACACAACAGGGGACACAGAGAGACAAGTATACCCAACAGACAGGGTTTAGCAAAATTTGGAAACCACATAAAGCAACACAGACGGTCGGTCAAAACACAATTAACGCATAGTCCGGTTGATCACGCTATTTCAAAGATTGCTAAATTGCAAGTTAAGTATGAAACTCAAAATACAAACCGCACACACACACATAGACATCCAAGTAGAGCGAACCAGCACAGAGACAAGCACACAGTGAAGTCGCCTTAAATAGGCAGAGAAGGTAAGGCTGAGAGACAATGGGACAAAAAGACTTCACTGTGTGCTTGTCTCTGTGCTGGTTCGCTCTACTTGGATGTCTGTGTGTGTGCGGTCTGTATTTTGAGTTTCATACTCAACTTGCAATTTAGCAATCTTTGAAATAGCGTGATCAACTGGACTGTGCGTTAATTGTGTTTTGACCGACCGTGTGTGTTGCCTTATATGGTTTCCAAATTTTGCTAAACCCTGTATGTTGGGTATGCTTCTCTCTCTGTGTCCCCTGTTTTATCTGTGTTAGTTCCCCCTACTTGGGTGTCTGTATATACATCTGGGGTTATGTGTTTCCCCTCTCTCGTAAATTTAGCTCTTTTGTACCTGATGATGGCTGCTTGTGTTGCAACCGAAACGTCGTACGCTATTACGTTATTTTATTATTTCTTATTTATACGTGACTTTACCGAAAAAAACCAAAGAGTAATTCCTGCAGTCACGAACGCTTCAAATCAAGACTGCCACTCTAGGCAGCAGACATAGACACAGATGTACACTAACTGGGCGTGTGTGTGAACAGTGAGGGAAGAGCAATGGCAGTGCTGTCCCCAGGGGAGTACAACGTTAATAAACCCCTCTTAACGCAATAAATAACTAAACAATGAAACTTCTACCGCGCTCCTGGAACGCTCTCCGTGCAAAACATTGCGAAATAAGTGACAATAACTCTTAATGTCGTCAGCGTGCGTCACAGCAAATTTGCAAACTCGACCGTTCCATTCCTTCCACGCGCGGCAATTACACTGGTCTACAATATGTTAGACGTCGTCTGCAATCAGAGACGAAATGTGCTGCTTGTTACGGATTTTTACGTGCTGAATTAAAATATGACAATGAAAACAACAATTATTTGCAGGCCGTCGCCGAGACGCAGCCCGTCTGCTGTAACGTGGACATTCGCAGGCAAGCGCAACTCGCAAAGATGTTGGCGCGGCTGTGCCGTCAACGCCAGCCGATGTGCCGCGGGGATTGTATTTGTTCGGCAGAAATGTCTGACGTTTTGCCCCCTTTTTTTCCGGACCTTACCTTCCCTATACTTTGTACTCCTCGTCGTGTTTTTTTTGCGTATTGTTTGCCTTTGTAACTTTCTGGCCTGCCCCTAAAAAGAGCTTCGAAGCGCATCGGATTTATCCTGGCTAAGATCGAGAAAAGGTAAGCAGGTCACTAAAAATAAAGAAATAAATACGATTTAAGTATAGGAGTAGAAATTGCACAGGAACATAATTTCCTGCCGATTTGTCAACACCAAATGGAAGCTTGGGCACGGAATAAAATCAACAACAACAACATCAGTCCCAGACCAGACCGAGCCAACACACCATCCCTCGATTACATTGCACATTCAAATTGAACCATCTCTTATCACTAAAATTACAATGTGAATAAAAGCAAAACACTCACATTGAATTCACTAGCCCTTTTGTTTGTACAGCTTAAAAATATATATTGTCATGTTAAGTAGGAAATTGAGTATGTCGAAGGACTGATTGAAATAAAATGTAATCCATTGTCTCTGAGCCTTCTGGATTCGTGTTTTTTTTTTAAATAGCGTTTGGCTGAAGGTAGACTTTTATTGAAGATAGTATCCGACAACTACGCAACTATATCCAACCTGATGACCCTGTTGGCAAAGCCCCACGCATAACACTGTAACAAATTTTAATTTTGTTCCTGGGTAGTATGTGTTATATCCTAATTACTTATGCCTCAAAAGCACAGAAAATTGCTATTACTCCCCACAAACTTTGCGTTTGTGACCAGCACATTGATATTTTGAAATTTACCTATTTTCCAGAACATTCCAGATAGATTCAGTGCTGAGTAAACTTGGAGTAACTTGAAGAACATTCTGGAACTTTTCAGCAATATAAATAGTAGTAGTATAAATACAGGGGCCTTAAGCCCACCAGTTCAGTTTAGTTCAAGCTCCCTAAGTGGATACAAATCTGCATTTTTCTGAGATGGAATCAAGAGGCTGCAAGCATCTTGCAGACGCATTTTGCTCTGTCTGCGGCCGAGTTATCAAGACAAGAGCGAAAAAGTACTCTGTGGAAGCATCTGCTAACATGTGTGAGGCCTACAAGGCAAATTTCGGCATGCCTGTCGGGGATCAAGACAAACCCTGGGCACCTGATTTCACCTGCAAGCAATGCAAAAAAAACTCTGGAAGGTAAGATGGACAATTGTTGCTCAGAATTTTATGGTATAACATTTGTAAAAAATTTTTTTTTTAAAGTTAATAATTTTAAAATGCTTTACAATTTTCAATGTTATTGAAAAAATATATCATGAAAAATGTTGCGATAATCTCTTACACATTTGTCATGGGTGAAATAAATGTATTTTTGTAGGATGGTACAGTGGAGAAAAGAGAGCCATGAAGACGTAAAGCTTTTGTGGCTGCAGGAATTCACATTATTGGGTCTTTCAGTAAAGTCACGTAGATAGGTTATTTTCTTTGAACCTATCTACATTACTTTACCGAAAGATCCAAGAATAAGAGGCATGAAGTTCCCTATACCAAGAATTTGGCGGGAACCCACTGACCACTCAAGCAACTGCTACTTCTGCATGGTGAACCCTCCCAAACGTCGCACTGGCAAGAATGCACCTGCTATCACTTATCCGGACCTTCCTTCATCCATCGCCCCGGTGCCACACTGCCATGAGCTCCCCGCACCCACTCCTCCAGAGAGAGAGCAGCCGTCTTTAGAAGAGAGCAGCAAGTCAGAGAGCGAGGAAGACGTTGTAGATCCAGATGACAATTTCAGAGATCGAGCTGAGGAGAGAAACCCCAAACCAAAAAGACCTCAACGACTTGATCAGAGATCTTGGTCTCATCAAGTCCAATGCCAAGCTTTTGACGTCAAGGCTCAAGCAGTGGAACTTGTTGGATGAAAGTGTGCAAATCGCAGATCAGAGGAAGCATCACCAACCTTTTTGCAGATTCTTCACCCGTACAGATGGGCTCTGTTTCTGCCACAATGTGACCAGTCTGTTCGATGCAATCGGAATCAACTGTAACCAGAATGAGTGGCGCCTCTTCATTGACAGCTCATCCAGGAGCCTCAAAGCCGTGCTGCTCCATAATGGTAACAAGTACCCATCTCTTCCCCTGGCTCACTCGGTGCACCTCAAAGAGGATTACAACAGCATCAAGACCTTGCTGGACGCCTTGAAGTATGATGAGTATGGCTGGGAGGTCATCGGATACTTCAAAATGGTGGCATTCCTGAATGGTCTCCAAGGCGGTTTTACCAAGTTTCCCTGCTATCTTTGCCTTTGGGACAGCAGGGACACCAAGGCGCACTACCACAGGCGGGACTGGCCACACCGGACCAAGTTCTCTGTGGGGAGGAACAACGTCAAGTGGGAGCCACTGGTGGACACCCGGAAGGTGCTGATGCCACCACTGCACATCAAATTGGGCCTCATGAAACAATTTGTCAGAGCTGTAGATAAGAAGTCGGCAGCCTTCAAGTACCTTCAAGACTTCTTCCCTAAGCTGTCTGAGGCAAAGGTCAAAGCTGGTGTCTTCGTCGGACCACAGATAAAGAAGATCCTGGAGTGCAATGAATTCCACAAGAAACTCACTAATAGGGAGAAAGCGGCTTGGAACAGCTTTGTCGCAGTGCTTCGTGGCTTCCTGGGCAATCACAAGGTCGAAAACTATGTGAATATGGTTGAGACTCTGGTGAAGAACTACGGCACAATGGACTGTAGGATCTCCCTCAAAGTCCATATCCTTGATGCTCATCTTGATAGATTCAAGGAGAACATGGGAGCGTACTAGGAGGAGCAGGGCGAGCGCTTCCACCAGGATATACTGGACTTTGAACACCGCTACCAAGGACAGTATAACGAGAACATGATGGGAGACTACATTTGGGGGCTGATTCGTGAAAGTGATTTACAGTATAATCGTTAATCTCGAAAAATTACTCACTACGAAATCTTTTGTAGCAACTTTTTAATTACTATATTATAGGTACATGTAAATTTGTATTCATATGTTATTTTTTTTCTGACTTTATGTGGACGTAAAATACACAAATTCGCCAAATTTCTCATTGAAAATGTGTACATTTCAAACTATCAATGTCCTGGTCACAAAAGCAAAGTTTGTCGCGAATAATATCAATTTTCTATACTTTTTTAGGCACAAGCAATTAGGAAATAAGACTTACTACTCAGGAACAAAAATTGTGTTACATAGTGTAATCAGAAGGTCGTGAGTTTAAATACTCAGTGGGGGAGGCAGGGGGGGGGGGGTCAACTCGGACGATCATATCCATGTAGCTGATAAAATAAGTACAGGGACTCGTCTACTTACAAATTAGTTAGGTTCCAGAGGTCTGTTCGTAAGTCAATTTGTTCGTAAGTCCAACTTTACCCCTGTTTATTCCGAACATGTCATTCGGCGTGTACACTAAACACGGGGAATAGCTTCAAAAGTTGTATCATCTCCTGTAGATGCCACTGGTTCTTCACGTTCTGTAGATGTCGATGCCACCACCGCCATCTATTGTGCGGTGGTTGAACTTACGACTCTCGTTCCGAACAGGCAACTGGACATACGGACGGGTTTGTTCGTATATCTGAAAGTTTTAAGTCGAATGTTCGTAGGTAGAGGAGTCCCTGTACCCACCTTTGTGGCAAGTCAACAGTGGTCATCAATTTATGGATAAAATTCGCTCAGGTCATCCCATCTTGTGAATGTGGAAAGTGTCCGCCTCTGGCTCAAGGCTCACCAATTGTGGTGAACACTTCCTGTTGGATGATTGCATATGGAGGACGCAGATTTTTTTCCTTGTTATTCCATAACACGCATTACCCACGCAAAGGGTAATTACTCTCAACAGGTCTTTCACCTCCAGCGGAAGCCAATGATGAACACCGATCAATGGATTTATTGTTGGGAAGCAAAATTATTCCATTTCAAAGAACACATTGCACCTGCTGGGATCCATACTCTCACCCAGATCGATGGTGTTCAAGTGCTGCTGTTAAATAGAAAATATTTTTCTCATGGCGTTCAGGTGGTGCTCACGGAGTTTTAAATTAAATGTGAATAGCCTGGCTGGGCACTGGAACCGTGTCCCGAATAGTAAGTGGACCATTGGTGAGATTTTTTTATTCTTCTTTTTAATATCATATATGCTGTTTGTCTCATAACTGATACAAATAAAATTTTGTTCTTCGTTTTAATGTTAGGTTAGAAACACTTATAGCATGTGCTCTCTATATTCTTGGTTTTTTTCGGTAAAGTCACGTAGAAGGGAAACAATAAAATAATAAAAGTATAAAACAATTAAATTCTCATGATGATGATTGCTTGTGTTGCAGTCGAAACGTCGTGAGAATTTTATCGTTTTATATTTTTATTATTTTATTGTTTCCCTTCTACGTGACATTACCGAAAGAACCAAGAATATGAATTCCCGCGGTCACGAAAGCTTTCAATCACAATGTGCTCTCTAGTTGCCTGGGTGAAAGGTGGTGCCATGCTTTGCACTTTTTTTTTCAGTCCGAGTGGAAAATTACTCAGCTACCAAAATCCGAAGGGCAAACACAAACGAGCGCAACATGGGAAAACAAGCCGCGAGCCTTGCGTACTCACTTGGCGGTCAATCTGCTGCTGCCTGGCCTTCTCCTGAGCTATGAGAGCCTCGGTGTCTTCTTGTCTGCGGAGCAGCGAGACGAGCCGCGTGGATGTGGCGCGGTCCTTCGATTGTCTCCCGGCCGCGACGCCCAGCGCCAGCTTCAGGTTCTCTCTCTCCAACTCGAGCTGCCTGATCTGCTGCCTGGGCACGAGTCAAGCGTAAGCGTTAGTAACCCCACGCGCACACACACACACACACACTTGGTTGGGATAATTAAATATATCAAGGTACCTTTTAATTGCCCCCCCCCCCACCTCACACAGCATAGCGGTGCAGCGAGCGGCTGACAATCTTTGGGTTGCCGGATTCAAATTCCTTTGGTAGGGGTTGCCTCCTCAGCTCATGATCGCTCCGGGAGTTGATGAGATGAGCATCACTTTTTGGGGAACCACTTTATCCGCTAATTATTTTTTTTACTTAACTTTTTCGGAGAGTAGTGGTGACGAATTGGCTAAATGAGTTTGATTAGCAGCCAAGGCCTAAGTTAAATTCCTGATGAACTCCGACCTACAATTTTCATGGCCTCCTGGTACGATGTGATACATCCATCATGAATGTCAACGATGGCCTATTTTTCTACGTTATTTCTACTCAGTTGCATTGTGATGCAACGTGTACTATAACAGCTGAAACCAGACAGTGGCGTATTAAATTGAATGGTGACATGCAATGCACGATGAACCTGTCTTTTGCGAGTGGTGTTTGAACTCGAATCAGAATATTTATTTCTACTGGAGGAATCCGATGAGCTATAAAGCTCGGCTGAACAGTACCATGGCAACACAGTATTTGGGAGGCCTTCATCCAGCAGGGGATTAGCAAAGGCCTGAATGTCAGTTTAAGTTCTGTTTTCACGATAGTTTTACCAAGGTTACTTTCGTGGCAACCTATTAATAATTTATTTTTGCACAAAAAAACTATTCAAGCAACAAAGGCATCTGCTCAAATAATAAATGGCATGGCATTTGTTTACACGGAATATTGGTGGTCTAGACTCAGTGGTGGAACATCCACCTTCCAATAATGGGTGGCAGTCACTTCACCCACAGAGTAGTTTTCGTCTGATCAACAGGAGAGGAATAATTGGCGGAGCGGACTCCCGACTGGGATTGAAATTGAAACTCTCAATATTTAGAATTGGATTTTCCATCACTGGCTCTGGTTGAGCGACTCCGGATGTGAGCAACGCCCCATGGCTTGTGTCGTGAAACCCTCCCAAGTGATTATTGCCAGCCCCCAGATTCTTGACATGCCAAGCCAATGGCAAAGTAACGGTTGAAATGGGTTCTGCGTGTGAGACGTTGACTGGGGTGTGTGGAGGATGATTCCATTGATGCTATTGATGATGATGATGCTGCCAATTGATGTTAATTTACTGTAATTGATGGTTAATGATGATCACGATGTCATTGATTTCGGTGTAATTTAGGTTCACGTTATAAATCTATTGATGGTGATGAAATTGAGATGAAGAGGTAATGAGTGAATGATGATGATGATGATATTAAAGCTGGGGCAATTAGGAGCGTGGACAACAGAGAACAGTTTCAGAGGTGGGAGTGATGCGTGCAATTGTCATTGAGGAGACCAGTGGCCCTTAAACCATGGGAATAGATTACTTTGAGCTAGAGGAGGGATACGTGAAGAAGGGGGAGCAGGCGCAGATGAGGCAACTCTGGGGTGAGGCTGTGGGGCGAGACACAGAGGTGAGGCAGCCAGGGAGATGAGCAGGAGGAGCTAAGTGAGAGATCTTGTCTCGTCGACAGCGGTGTAGGGTTTGCGGGGAGCGGTAATGTAGCGGTCAGCGCGCTGCAGTATGAACCCGGCGACCCGCGTTCGATTCCCGCTCACGGCCAACGCCAGTGACGATTATCTTAACCGGTCCTGGGTCTCAAAAGAGTACCTGGTTCGGTGTGCAAACATCACCTACTCGGGATACAAAGGCGGCCGGGCGTGGTGCTGGCCACCCACCCCCTCGTGTGTCGAGCCGGCCTTCATAGGTGCTCGCTAACAGCACTTGGCCCAACTGTTTGTTCATGCTCTAGGGGGGATCTTTCTCTTTGATGTTAGCCACAGCAAATGGGTAGAGTTGAGTCCCCAAAGGTCAGTGAGCAGAGAGGCTGTCTGGATTGCGTCGAAATATTTGGGAGAACAGAATCAATTTACATTAGATGTTACGAAGTGTTTAACGATATGTTGGCACTTGAGTATTAAAAATACACTCAATGTTAGACGAATCTCTGTTTGCAGTGGGTTGTTTTCTTGGCCTTACTAGCTTTCGTGATTGCATTTAAACCTCCTTCATATAAATGGTTTTACAATAATTCAACGATCTACGTCTCCCCCTTTTCCGTTGATTCGCAAATTCGTCGCCACTTGATTATTAACACTGCTTCCCCATTTGCGTCGCCTCAACCCACGCTTACGTCGCTGACAGCATCGTCCGTCCTATCTCGGTATCCGTCGCCTCTCAGCCTTCACCTCCACCACCACCACCTCCTCCACCTACTACCCTGTACATCGCTTCGACTTACGTCGTTTCGATATTCTTCAGCGCACCGTTCAGGCACGCATCCCCGACGTAAAACCGGGGTGCATTACTGCACCACCATATTGTATCGTATAATATCACGAGGCATAGCACGCTCCCTTCACGCTGCTGTCCGGATATGGAACTGCCTCACCGAACGCATTGTCGGCGAAATCACCGATTCTGGTCTTCAGACCTTCAAATGCCGAGCACATGGACATCACCTAACTTCGCCACACGCGTTGTAGGGACCGAGTCTTTGAGCTGCAGTGAACCAACGATTATGCCGGTTAGATCTACTAATGTCCTATATGGCTGTTGTTCACAATTGCACCCAATAAAAAAGAACCCCCCCCCCCACTCCCATTTTCACACGCTCAGAACACTCGTGTGAGAAAGGGACACTGATTTAGACTCAATGTCTCGTGGTGGCCCTTCCGCTAGCAGTCACGTGGACGAGCAATTGCAGGGCTACATGTGTATTGCTTCTTGATGTTTCACATCATTAAAACCCAACGATGATGATGTTAAAGATGTTGATGCCAATGCCGTATGAATACATTGTTTTGCAGACAATACGCTCAAGGCTGAGACTTGTCATGATGATGCCACCTTCGATGCAAGTTTGAGTTTACAAAAGGACCTAATTAAGATCCAAATTCAAGGTTAACCACGATTATTTGGTGATGCCGTGTTGGCAATGGTACACAATTAACAAAGAAACTCAACACTCATTAAAAAAATACTCCCTTAAATGTGATTATATATCCTAGACTTTTCCTAACTCTCAGATGCACTACAACAACATTTCACAGGCAACGGAAAAATGTGCTCGACAACATTATGCAATGAAGACCATAACAATTTACTCTTAAAGTTACACAATCTGTTCCAACAATGTCAGCCACTGTTGTTAATGTTGTTTACCTTAATGGGCCATGCACTTATCCTTGAAACGTAACTCCGCTTGGCTGTTTGCGACGATGATACTCACTGCTGCCTGCTGATCGTAACTTCGCTGTCGCGAGCGTAACTTCGGTGTGCTCCTTCCATCGCCCTCTTCCTTTGTCTCAGTGCCCTCAGCTCTGTCTCTGCTGAGAAAAGAATAATAATACCCAAACAAGACACGTTTTTGACACCGGGAAAGACCTTGTTCCGGTTTTATAAAAATAACTCAATGATTATACAGAGGAGGTGGTGGGTTCAATCCCGATCCTGATGTCTGCTGTATATTTGGTGGTTGCATGTTCTCCCCGTGGTCACGTGGATTTTTCTTCAGGTCCTTCAGTTTTTCCCTCCACATTTAGAAACATGGGTTTAGGGTATTTGGCTGATATAAATTTGAATACGATAAGCCACTTCGTTGAACTTTCATTTGTGGCCAGGTCGCTTCTGAAAAAGAGCTATATAGCTCAGTCGGCCTTACCTGTTAAAATACAAAAAATGTTTACTTTAATGATCAACATGATTGACAAGGCACAGGGAGGCCTTCATCCAGCAGTGGATTGACAAAAGCCTGACATTATCATTGGTATTATCGTCATCATCATTTTGACAAATGAACAGTGGCTTTCTTTTTTTTGTAATAACCTGGCCCCGTCATAGAAATGTACAATTTCCACTGCAGGTCTCAGGATGGTCAAAGCACCGCCATTCGTTTGAGCTTGGAGACGCTTCTGAAATTGTTTACCTTTGAATGTAGAGATTTCTGGTTCGTCTGTGATTTACCCCGTGTGATTATGTTATTGTCTATTCAGAACAAGCAAAGACATTTATGGAAACCCTGGGAGGGATTACACAGACAGCACGCACACAAGTTGGAGGCATAATATTGGCTTTGGCAGGTCATTTCGCTCAAAGGAATGATAGCTGGTTGTCAAGGCGAATGAAGAAGTTGCAGCCAACGGAGGGATAACATCCAAATCAGTTCGTCTTCAGGCGGATCGTTGCATTGCAAGACCGTGAATACCTTGGGGAAGCCTTCATCCAACAGTGCACAGATCGTAACTGATGATGATGATGATGATTCGTGCGTCTCGTTGCATTCACCGCATGAATAGGGCCACATCTTTTGATTGCCAATCGTAGCCCTTTTTGTGTCCAAAACAACGTTGTGGAAATAACCTTCGTGCGACCAAGCAAAGGGCATAGATTGACTGCGGATGGCACACAATGAAAATAAGTAACCCGATACGTGTGTGAGTGTTAAGGTGTTCACGTTAAAAAAAAAAACAATGTTTGTGGTTCCTTCGTTCACTATTCAACAAACTCAGATGTGGCGCGGAGCAGGATTAGAGATGCTTTTCGCGGGCGATTTTTTTCGGGTGCTTTACGGACAACTGTCAGCATCCCAGCAATGCCCTCCGACCAAGACGTTGCCTTAAGCAAACGAAACAACATCGCCGCTTGCTCACGTGAACAAAGGTTTGAACAATGGTGAGGCACCTCGGCACTTTCCGCTGAGCTGGTCGTAATTATTCCAAATTTCCGTGGTAGGCGGCAGAGGTCAGCAGTTAGAGGCGGTCCCTGCTTTTACGAGGTCATAATGCATTCCTTGAGAAAAAAAAACCCCATCGTCATAAATTGGACCCTATTTTCCCCATAGAAGGTAGACACATCACTTGCCGCTGCATTTTTGTTTTTCCTTTTATGAACCATACTCAACAGGGATAAATAGGTACAAAACTAAAATCCACAAAAAAACACGATAATAATAATAACAGAAGCTCCGCGCCAAACCGCACAGGTTAAACCAGACAGACTCTACTCTTTGGTTCTTTCGGTAAAGTCACGTAGAAAAAAAATTGAATCAACAATAGAATACGACGTTTCGATTGCAAAATAAGCAGCCGTCATCAGGTGTGAATGCAACACACATACAGAGAGAGAGAGACACACACAGAGAGAGACAAACACACAGAGAGAGAGACACACATGGGGGAGAGACACACAGAGAGACACATAGAGAAACAACGCCTCTGTGATGGGGAATTATACAGAGAGAGGGTGGGGGGGAGGCAGAGAAATTAGCATGTCAATGAGAGCGGCAGGGGGAGAGAAATTGGAAGTTTGAGAAAACAAACCTCGTAAACTTAGAGAGCGACTCTGTTCGAACGTGTCCGGCGTCTTGTCAGAAGATGCGTCGCGAATCAAGTTTCTGCGTCGTAAATAGATCCGTGGTGGGATTATATGAGCATCGTAAACGCGGACCGTCGTAAATCTGAGACCGCCCTGTGTCTCTATTAGACAGGCACTGTTGACTTTCCACAAAGTGGTGCTCATTCTATGGAGTGCCCAAAAGGGGTGCGAGGCTGAGTTGACCTCCCACCGCCCCGATTTGAATGCGTGCCCTTCATGGTGCTGCCAAATGAGCTCGGGTTCTTAAAAACTGTCAACCCAATGGTAGGAAAAAGGAGAGCACAAATACTTTGATGAAACGTCTATTGGAGTTCTCCAGCGAGGGCAAATACCGCCCTGAAGGATAACGGAAATTGAGGTAGGGGGGGGTGAGGGTCATTGCACACTTAATAAAATGCAATGCAGGGTGATCCATTTACAGGTACCCCACCCCCCCCCACCACTGCATTCCAATGCCCCTCTTAGTATAATCTCAATGACTGATCACATATTGTGCATGCGGTGGTTCCGTATCTTAAAGAGAGGTGTAAGAGCTTTAATACGCACATTGAGATTGGTGGGAGACGTGTAGATACTTTGAGAAAAAAAAAATAGATCTGCCTCCACAGTACACCAATTCTACGAGCCTGGTGAATAAATAGGGCAGTGATATGCTGGATGATGCCTCACAGTAGGACATGGTGTCGGTGCAGAACAATAACAAGTGCGTCCAATTCAAAGCTAAGGGGCTTGCACGCATTTGGGCAGTGGTAAACAAAAAAAAAAAACCCCAAAACATTCCACAACCTTCTTTCCACACAAAAAAACTACTAAACTCTTTTTTTTATTAGACTTCATAGCTCTTTTTCAGAAGCCACCTGGCCACAAATAATAGCTCAACTTAGTGGCTTATCTCGTTGGAAATGTCTAGCAGCCAAATACCCTCAACGCGTGTTTCTAATAGTGGAGGGAAAAACCGGAGGGCCCCGGACAGCAGTCGTCAGGGTCAGGATTGAACCCATGATCTCCAGTACACCAGGCGAGGTAGTTAACATCTCGCCACGGTGGCACCCTTAGCGGCTCACTCCACTGTTCACAGAAGCTCTAGAGAGCCCCTCTTCAAGAGTTGTTTTCTTTGGTCCACTCTTCCATGCTGGCCCCGATGTCTTGGCAGGGATGTGAGTCCCCCACACTTTACCCCCCCAAACGCACACGCGACCTGCCGATAGGCCAAGCGTGCGGTAGCCCTCTTGCACCAATGTTTCAACTGCCGCGCCCGGAAATCGAATTAAATTGGCGACCTATGGATGACAAGCGCATTGTGCTAAAAAGCCCCCCACCCCCTCCCCCCGCCTCTTACCATTAACACTGCCTTATAAACCACGGTCGATGGAGTGAATGCGTAAGCCTGCGTCGGGTGTGCCCTTAATTGTTTTTTTTTTAATCCGAATCGCTGCCTTTCCCCCCTCCACCCCCTTATTTATGAGGAGCGATGAATCACAGCATTTAAAGCGCAGTAAAAGAGCAGCTGGTGTATAGACGAGCGCTGTTGTGCATTGAGACAATTGTTACGGCATGTGCAACAACAACAAAAACAAACAAACACGATGCTAATGACGTCATCGTTAGGAATTGCGATATAATTTCCACCATTTTTTTTATGACAGGGACCAACAAGACAATTAATAAGCGAATGTTTCCTCCACATTGTACGGAGTGGTTCTCAAGCTGTGAACCAGGACAAAACGTTTTTTTGAACACGCGCGGGCAACGTCAACGCCACGTCGCGGTCACTAAACGCACGGAGGTGGCGCACGAAAACAAACACCTTGCTAACACTGCGTGACTAGAAGGTGTGGACATGTGAACTCTCTCCGCTGTGGGCTTAGTCATCTCGTCCGAGGCCGCGTCGGAGGGAGGGGGGGGGGGTCTTGGTGGGGGGAGTCTCTACACCAGAATAAATAAAGGTTGGGGACCAATGCCCACGGTCGGAAGCTTACAGTCCACGTGGTTACGCATCATCAGCTGAGTTTGTCCTTGGCTGGGATTTGAACTCATAACCTCGTCATGTTTTGGGCACCAGCTGTTACACCAACTGCTATCGCATGAGAAGGTGTTTCTTCATTAACATTGCTCATGTTTTTGTGGATTATTTGGGCATACCACGTGTTTTACGGGTCTAATTAAACCGTAATGCAGCTGCAGTCGTGAGAACATTTGTTTTTAATCGTGCGAAATAAAGCAGTAATAAAAAAATCACGCCGAATACTCATGGACTTTATTAATTATTTAATCATAGACTAGACGCCGGTCGATATCCAATGTGGAAAAAGTCATGTTAAGGGCGTGATATCGGAAAATAGAAATAAATGTCGATCTACTGATATTAAAGAAGAAATCCATTTGGATTTAATGTTAATTTGTTTTTGACCAAAGGCTTAGCTTCAACGAAAACGGTTTATGAACTTTATTAAATCTGGGAAATGGCGCGATGCAGTCTCTCAATACATTTCTAAAGGGATTGGTTGTATAATACATTCATGACATTTTATAGCTTTACAGCTATATAATAATACTCATCAGAAAATTATAAATTAAACATGAATTCAAATTGAGATAACATGGCTTATGAAATTAGGCCATTCGTGCAAAGGCTTAAAATAAATGCCAAATAAATCCCTGCTCACATGTAGCACCGCTAATCTCTGTTGATGGCCCTGAGGTGGACATTCCTCATTCCTTTTGGGGGAAGTCAGTGTGTCCTCACTCCATACAGGTTAACCCTAGCCATAAATTATAGCCCCACGAAGTGGCTTATCATGTTGAAATTTATAGCAACCAAAAAAACTCTGAAAGCATGTTTCTCAATGTGGAGGGGAAAAACCAGAGGATCTGGAGAAAAAAATCCATAGAACCACGGGGAGAACATGCAAACTCCAAAAATGCAGGCATCAGGGTCGGGATCACACCCACGGCCCCCTGTACACCGGGCGAGGTAGTTAACATCTCGCCACCGTGTTGCCCTAAAAGCATGGTGTAGAGGATATAATCGTTTATCCTGGAATAACATCGAGAGGCATCAATATGAACACGTGGTTTCGAGAACACAAGGTAATGACACCAGTCATACTGTTAAGGCGAGCGAGTGGGCTTGAGCAGCGCTCGTCGCTAGAGGGGATGATGGACGATTGTCCAGTATGCATGTGTGTATGTATGTATGTTGAACTTCTTTCGCACCGTACTTAACCAACCGTGCTAATCAGAGGTGCGGGGGGAGAACAACATACTAAACACAAATATCAGTTCTAAAAACAAAAACAAAATCAAATCTATATTTAAAAGTGCACACCTCCAGTGGCATATTAATATGGGAAGGAAGAGCGTTCCAGACGGCCGCAGAAATGATCACGGAGTGGCAGCCGAGGAATGGAGGGACGAAAACAGGTCGTGTGTAGTTGCTAGCTGCTAGTCCACCGCCTCTCATGATCGCAAGCTCATAAGGGGCGGCGATGGCTCGGGGAGTCCTTCATCCAGCTGTGGATTGAACATGGTTGCTGATGATCACGATTGTTAAAGTATGTGGTAGATGTTTTCACATCCGAGTCGCATGAAGAAAATACTGAATGATTTGGCAAACCGTTGAGCGGCTTGCTGAACGGGCAGGATTGTTCTTTGAACGGCCAACCTCCACCGTTGGGTTCTTCGTGACAACCCACACTGCAGCTGTGGCACCGTACGAGCATCATCATCGCGCATCGTCGATGACTGGCCACGGACCAAGTGCAGCGGAGGGCCACGAGAACTTCGCGCGCCCACCGACAAAGCGATCGCAACGGCTAAGCGAATTAGCACGCGCGCAAAAGAGAGAAAACGGCCGTTGTGTGGATCAATTGAGTCAAACCACGAGGTCACCTTCATTGTCGCTGTCGTGTTCGTCCCCCGTTAGAAATGCGGTTTTGCCGGCTCCGTTCGACGCCTTGCCACCTGCACCACGCCCACACAACGATAACATAATTTGTTTTGACGTATATTTTATTTTAACCAGCTGCGACCCACTCTTTTTCAGAAACGATCTGGCCACAAATTATATTTATAGCTGCCAAAAATTCTAAACACATGTTGATTTTAAATGTGGAAAGAAAATAAAAACCAGAGGACCCAGAAAAAAAATATACACGCGAGCACGAGGAGAAAATGCAAACTCCAAACACACAGCAGGCGTCAGGGTCGGGATTGAATCCACGACCTCCTGTATACCGGGCGAGGTAGTTAACATCTCGCCACTGTGGCACCACGGGACAATGATGTGTCTCCTGAACCGACAGGAAATAAACATAGATCACAGTTGTCCCAAGGTTTAAATTACCTCTTGTGCGCGGGAACTTTCAACCACCGTGGCTCGTGAACCAAAACTAAGTTAAAAAAAAACTCTGACATTAAATTGGATCACTTGTTTTGCAGTTTTATTTTTTAAAGCGAGCATCATTAAGCCACTTTGCACAAAGTCCACTGTTTAACTCCTGCTATTTTCCAATGGGAGTTTACCAATGCATGACGTATGATGCAAGACTTTTGGTAAACACCAATATAATGTGTTCACAACGGTAGGCCACCACCACATGTCGAGGTTTCAGCCAAAAAATCCCCAAAATTAAATGACCTGCAAATAAAATCGCAACATAATACGTTTCCTATGGTTGCTTGTTTTTTTGTCAATTAAAATCTATACCTATATATTTTGTGTCATCTACTTTCATCAATCTTTTGAAATAAACGTATTACATTAGCCATTTTCTGTAGAACATAGCCATCACTTAGCATGAGGCTCTCTGTTCAAGCATCGAGAGAAGTTGCAGATGTCCTCCTGTTGTACATGTTTTTGCCATTGTACATATTTGTTTGCTATCTGCATCATATCATGAGACAAAGTATCCACTTGGATATCCCGTAATGCAGTCCCAACCTTCGTGTTAGAGAGCGGCCCCACACAAGGGGATGTCACAGAGCTACCTCTGAGAACCCTTCAAAGTCACCTCTTGCCTGCACGGTAATCCCCGTGACAGCAATGTTCATCGCATAACGGTGATTCTCAGCATTGGAATGTAGCCAACTGAAGTCAATGAACACGTTTCACAATAAAGTATTATTAAGGTTTTAATTATGCAGTTATTGGTGACCTGTCTTAGTGCATCAACTCACTAGAACTCAGTTTAATGACAGGTAGCCGTCGCCTGGATTCAAAGCCAGGAACCTCAGCGGTACTCGGCCGGTACTCTGACCTCTGAGCGACATGACCACTTCCAATTCTACTCTGTCTTAAGTACCAGGGAAAGCTAACGTGCGATTCGTCCTGAGATGATGCCACCAATAAAGACGTTGGCAAAACACCTGGGACTCCCAGATCTCTATGTGATGCGCGTTGCGAACGCTGTGGTGGACGCGTGGAGGTTTAGAGGGATGAGACTCGAGCGATAAACTCTACATCCGACCGAGAGTGAGTGTATCGTTGTGTTAACCTCGCTCATACTGGCGTCCCGTTAGAATTCCTCCACAATGGATGATCTCTTCAAGGGCACCCTGTAACATTTGTTTAAATACGTTCCGCTTCATTTTGTTCACCTGCTTGTCAGGAAACAGCACTCCATGTGTAGCAAAGAAATAGCCCTGCAATTGCTTACTCACACCACTGCTGGTGGAAGGGCTTCCATTGGAGAGAACTCTGGATCCTACCGGTCGAGTAATTGCAATTCATGGGGCGCCACGGTTACGAGATGTTAACTACCTCGCCTGATGTACAGGAGGTCGTGGGTTCGATCCCGACCCTGACGCCTGGTATCGTGAATTTTTCACCCCGGGTCCTTTAGTTTTTCTCCCCACATTTAGAATCAACGTGTGTTTGGAGTATTTGACTGCTATAAATGTCCGCATGATTAGCCACTTCCTTGAGCTATCACTCGTGTCCAAGTCACGTCTAAAAAAGAGCTATATAGGTCAGTGGGCCTTACCTAGTAAACATAACAAATAGTTTAGTTCATAGTTATAACTGTGATAAACTTGCACCATTGTTTTAACTCGCACGCTGGCAGATATTATCTTATCTAGGATCGTATATCGTGATTTTGTGAAAGCGCTAAAACAAGAATAAAAAATCAGACATTAGTTATTAGCTTATGGGGAAAAGGGATGGGATTTGAGTGTTGGGGAGGGATGGCAAGGAAGGGTGATGATTGCGGAAGGAAGGGCCGAGGTTAGGACGGGGAAGGATGGTTAAGGTTTTCAGGACGAGGACAGGAAGCAGTAGAGGAAAATGCTATTTAAAAAAAAACAGTCTTAAGGGAGGAACGGAAAATGGTGAGTGAAGTTGCCCGTTAGATGTGGCAATTTATTCCAATTGAGGGGAGCCAGGAGGGAGGATTGGAGGGGGGGGGAGATGGGACGTCATAAAAATAAGAGACGCGAGTTAGGGTGGGCTAGAACCATGGAAGATGGAATCTAATTGGCGATAACTGGTTTACAAGTCAAGTGTGCTGATTTCTACAACCACGGCAGCCAAACCTTTATAGTATTTTATTTAGACTTAAAACTTTCGTGACTACGGGAATTAATATTCTTGGTTCTTTCAGTAAAGTCAGGTAGATAGAAAAAAAACCCAATAAAATAAAATAGAAATAAAAAATGAAAATAAAAAATGTAAAATAATAACAGCAAAACACCCACCACGTTTCGATCGCAACACAAGCGGTCTTCATCTTCATCTGCTTATAAGGGTTTCCAAAGTGAGTGGGCGGGGGACGAGAGCTGGGAGGAGGAGACCTGCGTGGCGTAAACAGCACGGGGGGAGCAGCCAATCAGCCAGTGGCAATGTAGGAGTAGACACTGGGGGAGCAGCCAATCAGCCAGTGGCAATGTAGGAGTAGACACTGGGGGAGCAGCCAATCAGCCAGTGGCAATGTAGGAGTAGACACTGGGGGAGCAGCCAATCAGCCAGTGGCAATGTAGGAGTAGACACTGGGGGAGCAGCCAATCAGCCAGTGGCAATGTAGGAGTAGACACTGGGGGAGCAGCCAATCAGCCAGTGGCAATGTAGGAGTAGACACTGGGGGAGCTGGGAGGAGGAGAGATGCGCGGTGTAGGTCAGCCAGTGCTCATGTCGGAGTAAACAATGGGGGGAGGAAGCGGGGTAGAGATAGGGGAGGGAGAGGGGTGGTTAGGGATAGGGGAAGAGGGTAGAGATGGGGGGGGGGGGGTAGAGATGGGGGGGGGCATTGCTTCTCGCTACACACATCCACACTGCTGACGGTAGAGGTTGACAAGAAAACACAAATCAAGTAATGACCCAAAGTGGTTGATGACATCTTTCCAATGTATTCTTGGTTCTTTCGGTAAAGTCAAGTAGAAGGGAAACAATAAAAGAATACAAATATAAAACAATAAAATAATACAAATATAAAACAATTTAATTGTTTTATATTTTATTCTCGATTTGGTGCTTTCGAGACATGCATAGGTCTCTCTATGGTATGTATTCTATCACTATCTTAAATTTCATACTTAACTTACAATTTAACAATCTTTGAAATAGTGTATTCAACCAGACCATGCGTTAATTGTGTTTTAACCGACCGTCTGTGTTGCTTTACATAGTTTCCAAATTTTGCTAAACCCTGTTTGATTTAGTGTGATGCTTCGTCTCTCTGTATCCCCTGGTATATCTGTGTTAATTTCCTCTACTTAAGATCTGTATATATATCTGCGGTTATGTGTTTCCTCTACCTGATGATGATTGCTTGTGTTGCAATCGAAACGTCGTATATTATGTAATTTTATTTTTTCTTATTTCTACGTGACTTTACCGAAAAAAAACAAAGATTTATATTTAATTGTTTTACATTTTACGTGACTTTACCGAAAGAACCAAAAATATGAATCCCTGCAGTCACGGAAGCTTTAAATCAAAATCTTTCCATTGATTGCTGAGTTTATAACTGTCATCTCGGTTGAAATTGTGTCTATGTGTGTATATATGGATGGCTTCGTGAACGAATCTTTGTTGATAGCCAGTCGGCTTGCAAAGTACCATCGTCTTAGAGAAATCAATTTCAAGTGAGCCAGCCGCATTAAAGTAATGATCAGCCACGGCAGAAGTATTGGTCCTGCCGTGTTTCAGATCTGCCTTATATTCACGAATACAGTCCAAGACGTGTCGTTTAGTTTCCCCAATGTAATAGCTGCCGCAGATACCGCTTAGTTTGTAGACGCCGGGATATTTCATGTCTGGAATCTTGTCCTCCACAGATGGGATCAGATCACAAATTCTATGCACTGTGTTAAATGAGTTATCTCATTTTAAAAAGAGGGAGGATATCGTCATCCTCTCAGCCGACAAGGGCAATGCCACGGTCATCATGGACAAAAACGTGGACAACAGAATTCAGGGCCTAATTAATTATGGGAGCTACACAAAACTTTAAAGAGATCCCACCAACTGCCTCATTATAAAAACAAACAGTATCATCACTGATTCAGTTTCATTAATTGAACAGGCTAAATCGTTTTCCTTAAAACCTCCTGCTAGACCACCCAGACTATATAGCTTACCAAACATCCACAAAGAAGGTACACCCCTTCGTCCCATCGTCTCCACCATTGGCTCACCCACCTACAAACTGGCCGGATATCTGTCTGAGAGCTTGCAGCCATTCACTGGTAAGACCACCTCTTCTGTTCTTAACTCAGCTCACCTGGTATCGTCAATTAAAGACATCTCACTGTCCCCAGGTGATTTGCTCGTCAGTTTTGATGTAGTTTCTTGTTCTCCAAAGTTCCTGTGCCCGATATTATTGCAATAATTGAAGAATTGGTCCAACAAGGACTGCATGCTGATGTACCAGCCCTGGTGAGACGCTGTCTCACCAATACATACTTCACCTGGAATGGAACATTCTACAAACAAACTGAAGGCACCTCAAAGGGTTCTCCCTTATCTCCAGTTGTAGCCAATATATTCATGGAAAAATTTGAGACGGACGCCATCCAGGCATCCACTCTACGCCCATCCTTGTGGAAAAGATACGTGGATAACACGTTTTTCATTTGGCCACATGACCGACCGGCTCTGAAACAATTCTTCAACCACATCAATTCCATACACCCAGACATCAAATATACCATTTAGGTAGAAAAGGATGGCATGCTACAGTGAGGGAAAAAACGTATTTGATCACCTGCTGATTTTGTACGTTTGCCCACTGACAAAGAAATGATCAGTCTATAATTTTAATGGTAGGTTAATTTGAAAAGTGAGAGACAGAATAACAACAACAAAATCCAGAAAAACGCATGTCAAAAATGTTATAAGTTGATTTGCATTTTAATGAGGGAAATAAGTACTTGACCCCTCTGCAAAACATGACTTAGTACTTGGTGGCAAAACCCTTGTTGGCAATCACAGGGGTCAGACGTTTCTTGTAGTTGGCCACCAGGTTTGCACACATCTCAGGAGAGATTTTGTCCCACTCCTCTTTGCAGATCTTCTCCAAGTCATTAAGGTTTCGAGGCTGACGTTTGGCAACTCAAACGTTCAGCTCCCTCCACAGATTTTCGATGGGATTAAGGTCTGGAGACTGGCTAGGCCACTCCAGGACCTTAATGTGCTTCTTCTTGAGCCACTCCTTTGTTGCCTTGGCCATGTGTTTTGGGTCATTGTCATGCTGGAATACCCATCCACAACCCATTTTCAATGCCCTGGCTGATGGAAGGAGGTTCTCACCCAAGATTTGACGGTACATGGCCCCGTCCATCGTCCCTTTGATGCGGTGAAGTTGTCCTGTCTCCTTAGCAGAAAAACACCCCCAAAGCATAATGTTTCCACCTCCATGTTTGACGGTGGGGATGGTGTTCTTGGGGTCATCTCCAACCATGAACACCTGACCAGGGAACTCAAACACGTACACTAGGCTCTCATGGCGAATGGATATTCCGGTTATAAACTCAGCAATCATTGGAAAGATGTCATCAACCACTTTGGGTCATTACTTGATTTGTGTTTTCTTGTCAACCTCTACCGTCAGCAGTGTGGATGTGTGTAGCGCCTGCTTGTCAACCTCTACCATCAGCAGTGTGGATGTGTGTAGCGCCTGCTTGTCAACCTCTACCATCAGCAGTGTGGATGTGTGTAGCGAGGAGCAATGACCCCCCCCCCATCTCTACCCCCCCTCCCCCCCTATCCCTAACCACCCCTCTCCCTCCCCTATCTCTACCCCGCTTCCTCCCCCCATTGTTTACTCCGACATGAGCATTGGCTGACCTACACCGCGCATCTCTCCTCCTCCCAGCTCCCCCAGTGTCTACTCCTACATTGCCACTGGCTGATTGGCTGCTCCCCCAGTGTCTACTCCTACATTGCCACTGGCTGATTGGCTGCTCCCCCAGTGTCTACTCCTACATTGCCACTGGCTGATTGGCTGCTCCCCCAGTGTCTACTCCTACATTGCCACTGGCTGATTGGCTGCTCCCCCAGTGTCTACTCCTACATTGCCACTGGCTGATTGGCTGCTCCCCCCGTGCTGTTTACGCCACGCAGGTCTCCTCCTCCCAGCTCCCGTCCCCCGCCCACTCACTTTGGAAGCCCTTATAAGGAGTTGCATTTGGAGGCTTGTCCCCCTCTTTTCTCTCCGCCTGATGAAGACCGCTTGTGTTGCGATCGAAATGTCGTGGATTTTTTTGCTTTTGTTATATTCAATTTATGATTTTTATTTGTAATTTCATTTTATTTCATTATTTTTATTTTTTCATTTTTATTTTCTATCTACGTGACTTTACTGAAATAACCAAGAATACTTCGTAGTATTTCCCCTCAAAGACACACAGGGGAAGTGAGTACCCACTGAAACAATGATTTGATGACCTTGTGGTTTTGCATTGTGCCCCGAATGTGCCCCGCATGTGGACCAAAGCAGTTACGTCAGCCGGCGCGTGCGAACAGATTGCAGGTTGTAGGACGCTTTCGCTTCAGAGTACAACATCAATAGCATGATCCATTTTTGAAGCCGGCTCTTTGGACACAAGCACGCGTGTTAAATGTGAGAAATGTGGCATATCTAAAAAAAACGACACTGGAATCGATCAAGCCGTTGCTCTCTGTTTTCATTCGGGTAACACATTCATCTTTTTTTATAATTTGGCCGCTCCAAAAAATGAAAGCCATTGTTCCGTGACAGCTAGACATCAGTGTCGCTACATTAGATTTAAGGCATTTTCTAAATTTCAGTGTTTTATAACCCAAATATTGAGCGTATTATACGCGAGCGATAATAATAATCATGTACAGTATGATTAATAGAATTATCATGCCTCATGGTAAGATGTAATTAATTTATCATGAATGGAAATTGCGGCCTTATTTTGTAGTTAAATTATCATTAAATGTGATGTATGGTGTTGAATACACGGTACAGAACAGATAGTGCGTGTCAAATCAATCGGTGATGTCCAGTGCACTATGAACCTGTAACCCTGAGTTGGATTCTCGACCACCACTCACGCCAGTGGCGAGTGGCGTCTGATCCTGTCTAGAGCCCTCCTCTAGACTAAACCGCAATGACCCGGTTGGTGAAGTATGGTGAAACACTGCTGGATTTGATAAAAAAAGAAAAAACATTCTTAAATCCAGCAGTGTACCTCGGTTCACCGCAGTAAATTGGCAGGTCGCGTGCGATGGGGCAAAGTTTGGGTACTTCCACCTCTTCCAAAACCAATCACCCCCGAGAGGGACCTTCTAGAACTCCCTCCGTTGGAGGTCCTTCCGGCAGCAGCACCAGCATGACAAAGTAACTACAGGGCTGCACTTTTACCTTTTATACCTTCAACAACGAAATAATAATACATCCCCACGGCATTTACATCTTTGTCTCAATGCAACATGCATAACAGAGTTGTTTGGGTTAGGTCGCGTGAAAATCTAAATGTGTCGTTAAACCCGCCACCACCCGACACAGCCAATTAGTAAGGTTTGTCACGTAAAGAGAACGTGCCAATTCGTTACTAGTACAGCAACACCAGTGCGTTGGAGAGTAACCCCCACAAAGCCAACGTGTTCAGTGCAAAATTTGTACATTTCATACACATTGGGCAAACAGAGACGCAACGCGTCTCTGCATCCTATATTGGCATAGGATGAAGCCGTATTGGCCACCTTCGTATCAGCAACAATGAATCACGCTGTGACGCTTGCAATTTCCAATGTCACTCAAAACATGCATATACAGGCCAGCAGATAGCAAACATTAACACTTTCTGTCCACTCATGTCATCTGGTGTCCAACTCTGCTAGTGGTCCCGAGCGCTGGCTGAGCGGTTTCACAACCCTACCGTGGCACCAGCCTATATCCATGCACACGAAGTACGGTAAGATGTACGCAATGCTACCGGGGTATTAAACCCACTTAAGCTGAATAATGTCCAATGTGTCACGATGGATTATCTCGAACGCATTCCGCACGCACGATTTTTCACAAAGTTGCGCTTTGCAGACGCCACTTTGCGTTGATTACAATCACCTTCACGGCCACCCTCTAAGTAGCAGTGGCTCTTGGCTAACGCATCGCGCGCTTTAAGATGCGCTTCTGCGGCCGTCTGGAACGCTCTTCCGACGAGGAAGCCACTGTGGAGCTATGCACTTTCAAATAATTATAATTGCCATCATCTAGATTTAACAATAATTGATTAACAATTGCTTTTTGTGTGTTAGTTTGTTGTCCTTAACCCAGTACCTCCGATTAGCACAGTTGGATACGTACAGTGTGTAAGAAGTTAAACATGTGTACTGTACATACAAAGTACATATATTGTACTTACAGTCGCCTCCACGTCACTCATATCGCTACTACTATCGTGGTTACATGCAGATCAAAACAACTCCTCCTTGGACTACTTCCCTTGCACTGATCGTCTTTGGAATTCCCTCCAATCGTCACTTCGTTTAAATCTTTTACAATAACAATAATAGCCTTCCTCAAATTCAAGACATGCATTGCAACTCGTATCTATTGCACCTTCAGTAGTGATCTTTGTTGCTGGACGCTTGCTATTGGAGACATTTTGCTAAGCAAGTGTTAAAAAAAAACTTTAACACATGAGAGCATCTTGCTTTAACATATATTCTTGGTTCTTTCGGCAAAGTCACGTAGAAGGGAAACAATACAATAATAAAAATATAAAACAATAAAATTCCCACGACGTTTCGACTGCAACACAAGCAATCATCATCAGATGATGATCTGATTTTATTGTTTAATATTTTTATTTTTTTATTGTTTCCCTCTTCTACGTGACTTTACCGAAAGAACCAAGAATATGAATCCATGCAGTCACGAAAGCTTTAAATCAAAGCTAAGACCCGCCACAAATGATAGCTCAACAAAGTGGCTCATCATTTCAAAATGTATTGCAGCCAAATGCTATAAACGAATGTTGATTCTAAATGTTGAGTGAAAACTGGAGGACCCGGAAAAAGACTCACACGACAACGGGGAGAACGTCCAAACTCCAAATATACAGGCATTAGGGTCGGGATCGAACCCACGACCGCTTGTATACCGAGTGCAGTAGTTAATATCTCACCACAAGCTAGAGTTGACTTAGTGTCCTATGTATTTTCATGTTCAAAGTGACACGTTCATAATTACATATTTACGTTTTATAATTACATATTTATGTTGAACTTCTTTCGCACTGTCCGTAGCTAACCGTGCTGATCGGGAGGTGCGGGCGAAGGACAACAAACTAAACACAAAAAATCAGTTCGAAAGAAATTAGTTTATATTGCAATGCGGTACATCCCAGTGCAATGGACACTGGTGAGTAATTTAATGAAGACAGGCGGTGGACAACTTACCAAAAGTAGACATCTTCTTTTTCCTCATCCTTTATTGTTTATTGGGACGTGCACAGAAGCACACAAAAGCAGCTAACGCCTTGAACGCCACGCCGCCGTTGTTCCACGCTTTCTATCTCGTGGTCGCAGTGCGTGGCCAGTAACTTGCATTCAACAAACTTATACACCCAGAATCAACCAACCTAGGAGAGAAATGTTACCACTCTCCCTCTTATCTCAAGAGCCTCTCCTCGCGTCACTTCTCAATGGACCGTGACAACGAGCCGATTACTCCTCAGCTGAACTCAGCCGTGTGTGTCCACACAGTTACCAAACGAACAAATAAACAGAGCTGTAAAATGTTTATTTTTTTATGTATACATACATATAACTCTGCGGTTGCTGTCAACACAACGTTATGGAGCACGGTGGACAAGCCCCTTGCAGAGAGGACACTAACACATTACTGGCATCTCCATTGGCAATCATTAGCCAGGTAACAGCCACCGCATGTTAAAGGCACAGGCATAGGGCATCTTTCCTAATGCTGCTCTGCTAACGTGAGCATTTGTAGGAGAAGCGGTCATCTACAAAGCCAGTGGTGTGCGTGGCCATGTTTTTTGTTGTTGTAGTACGGAGTTAAAATGATGGCTTTAGTCTAAGTTGTCTTGTGGTTCATATTCTTACATATTTTGTCTTGTGGTTGTTGTTGTTGTTGTTTGACTTGCATCCCACTGGGATTTTTGCACAGAGCGTTGGTGTATGGTGCTTTTTCTGGAAGATTTTTGCTGTTTTTTCCTGGATTTTTCTGTTTGCGCATAATCACTTGAAGATGTTTTCTTGTTCATGTTTTTTGTCTGTTGCGGTAGCACCCGATTCAAGAGCCGAATGGCTCACAGGGCTATACCAAATAAATTAAACTGAAACTGTGTAGGCCTCAAGTCTTCCGGCTGGCTGCTGGCTGGGTTCCTCTCCACCCCGACGATAACTCTGTTGCTAGCGGCTGTGAAGGTCCGTTTGTCACCGAAAATAGCTGGGTAACTAGCTAAACTGTGATTTTTATGTGCAACATTGAGTTGATTTTGAAACGGAGGTAGAGGTTCGGAAGACGTATAATAGATAGCAGCACCGAAGAGGTGGGACTAAGAAAACTAAAAAATAAACTATTTTTGTGTTACCAGGTAAGGCCCGCTGAGCTATATAGCGTTTCTTTCAAGAGCGACCTGGCCACAAAAGAAAGCTCAAATTAGTGGCTTGTTACGTTAAAATAATAGCAGCCAAATACTCTACGCGCATGTATCAAAATGTGGAGGGAAAAGACGGAGGACACGGAGAAAAATCCACACGACCACGGGCAGAAAATAAAAAAAATTCCAAGTATATAGGCGTAAGAGTCAGGATCGAACCCACGGCCTCCGATATACCACGTGAGGTAGTTCACATCTCGCCACCGCGGCGCCTGTAATGGTCACAGAAGACTAACACCTTTAGTTTGAAATTGCTATAACTTTTCAATTTGTGCTCCTAATAATATAATTATTCCGCCAGAATAATCTTAAATTCCTTGAGTATATATAAAACTCACAATACTTTTTATTTAGGAATTATATTACGTAAAAAAAGCAGTACAGGATTGTGAGACAGCTCTCTTCTTTTCCATTGTAGAGCATTGGATTCTCTCCTAGGAAAGCAATATGTAGTCCTTGCTTAATCCACTGCTGGATGAATGCTACCCCATGCCTTGTTGGTCATGTGGCTTGATTGAAAGTACTTCACTACACTGGTTTTGTATGCATGTTGAACTTAATTCGCACCGTACGTAGTCAACAATATTAATCGGAGGTGCGATTTTCATCCACCCACAGTAGTTCTTGACTAAGGTAAAAAAGACAAGCTCTTCATCGCAGGGGAAGGACAACAAGCTAAACACACAAAGTACTTTTTAGTATATATATTTTTTTAATTTAGGTTTAAAAGTGCACAGCTCCAGTGGCTTTCTAATATCAGAAGGAAGAGCGTTCCAGACGGCCGCAGAAGTGCTATTGAAAGCACGCAAGTGTTCGATGGTTAGCCAAAAGCTGTCGCTGCGAGGATGACCGTCGTTGACGCGATGGTTTATGCTCCTTTAAAAGAACAGCAAGGTGTTGTGGTTCATTTGTGACAAACACCTTGTGTGTAAATGAAGGATCGGTACCGTTCGATGTGAGGGCCGAGGGCTGGGACCGGTCAAGATAGCCGCTCGCACTCAAGATGCCGGCCTCAGAGATCGTGACGCGCTCACCACTTGTGCCACCGTTCGGATTAGTGGCGCTCATGCAAACAACAGCTTCTCATTAAGTTCATTGGTGGCAGTTGCAATAAATAAAAAATGTAACCGTTCGGACTTGATTTCCACCGCAGTATTTGTTCTGGGACTGCCTCTAAAGTGCCTCATTAATGTGATTTTTGTTTTGTCCAAGAGATCTTTCCCCAAGTGTATCCCAAGAGGCGTCACACTCAAGGGGAGAGATGCGAGTGCCCGGCAATGCACTCGCTGTGGAGTGTGGCTTTAGGGTTGCTGGGTGTGGTTGGTACAGGCTGACCACCCCACACAGTATTTGCTGCCCAGCAGACCATGGGCAAGAAGGCATTGCTTGAGGTACTATATAGCCCCGCGACTCCTGTTGAGGTGATATCACATAAAGCAGTTTTGTGACTTTAAGCCAATAATTTTATGACATAGGCTGGAATGGTTACCTGGTCGTGGTGATTTACGAGCAGCGAAGGTGGCATTTATTTACCCGTCTAACTCACCGGATTTATGACCTCACCTTTGACATTCTACCTTACTTGGTCTATTTCAGTTTTTTGTTCACGCTGCTTTTGGAGTGATTGTGGCAGTAATTTCTGGTAGCGATGATGCCGTGGTGTCATGGGGAGAAACACGGTTCACGATGCCTGTTGCGGCAGCTTTTCCCGCACGGTTGGCTACGTATGGTGCGAAAGAAGTTCAACATACATGCGTTATATTTATATTCTTTGTTCTTTCGGTAAAGTCACGTAGAAGGGAAACAATAAAATAATACAAATATAAAACAATACAATTCTCATACATACATTGTTCAGTTTTTGGTCCTTCCCCCGCACCTCCGATTAGCACTGTTGGCTACGTACGGTGCGAAAGAAGTTCAACATACATAATTGATTTAAATTTCGATTTAAAGCTTTCGTGACTGCAATGATTCATCTTCTTTGGTTCTTTCGGTAAAGTCACGTAGAATGAGAATACAATAATAAATTGATAAAATATTATTGTGTTATATTATTGTGTTATTTTATTTTATCAATTTATTATTTTATTCTCATTCTACGTGACTTTACCGAAAGAACCAAAGAAGATAATTGATTTAGTTTGTTGTCTTTCCCCCGCACCTCCAATTGGCACGGTTGGCTACGTACTGTGTGAAATAAGTTCAAAATACATACATACGTACGGACGGCAGTTGAAGAAATATTAAAATTTTCACAACCCCCCCCCCCCATATCTCGCCTGTGTCCACGCAGCAGCAGAAACAAGTACGCCACAGTTCGTCGATTTGCAGGTCGCGTTAGGTGGGGTAAAGTGTGGGTTCTCGCACGTGCTCTCAGAGCGGCTCTTTAGGGCAACCATCGAGTAGGGCACCTTGTTTAATTGGTTGATTTTGAGACGCGTGCACATGTTTGCAAAATGTGCAAAAAAAATCAACTTTAAGTGATGTACAAGCAACGTCTTTATATTCTTGGTGCTTTCGGTAAAGTCACGTAGATAGAAAATAAAAATAAAATAAAATTAAAATATGAATGAAAAATAAAAGCAAAAAAAACGCACACACACCACGCTTGTGTTGCGATCAATGATGAAGATCGCTTGTGTTGCGATCGAAACGTCGTGGGTTTTTTGCTTGAATTCTTAATTTATTTTTTATTTTTATTTTATTTTTATTTTATATCTACGCGACTTTACCGAAAGAACCAAGAATATTCATTCCTGCAGTCACGAAAGTTTTAAGTCAAAGCAACGTCTATCCCGCTGGAACGCACGTGTTTCTGAAGGACGTTACTCATCGTTCACACCAAAAAGCGTTTGAGTTGATTCGAGCAAACAATTTTCATTGCAGTGTGATTCACGCGTTAGTGGCTAATCTGTAAGTCAGATTGCAAGCATTTCTCGAAAGTAGGTGTGCTGGAAATTCAATTATTTTGAGCATTACCCAATACACCTCAGAACAAGATGATCGATACACTCAACCGAAAAAAAGATGTACGCGCGTCTAAAATCTATGTATGGCCAAAAAACAAAGAAAAGGGTAGCTATAAAGTGTTCACGTTAAACTTGAAAGTGGCTCACTATGTTGTCGTCGGGTTGTTTGGCAAAGTTATTTTTGTTGCAGTAACGGTCAACTTTGTCAATTTAGCAACAGCGGCAAACAGCAAAGCATGGGTTTGACTTTGGAAAGTCGGTCCTATTAGATGTGTTAATTTCGAATGAGATTGGAATCTCGGCGTCCGCGTCTGTGTGTGTCTTTGTACGGGGTGGGGGGCGGTAGTGTAGCGGTTAGCGCGCTGCGCTACGAGCCAGGCGATCCCAGTTCGATTCCCGCTCAAGGCCAACACCACTGACGATTATCTGAACCGGTCCTCGGCCACCCCTGGGTCGACTCAGCCTCGAATGGGTACCTGGTGCAGTGAAAAAATAAAATGCCACTAGGGAGACAAAGGTGCTCGGGCTTGTTGCTGGCCATCCACCCCCTCGTGTGCCGTGCCGGCCTTCATAGGTGCTCGCTAACGACACTCGCCCCAACAATCGGTTTAGTCTATACGGGGGGGGAGGGGGTATCTGTGTCGTTGTGCACGCATTCCACTTGCACGCAGACGGCGTTAATTGCTTAGTGGATGCACGCGTTTAACAATCATTGGACCGACGCAGCGTGGCGGTGGGTCACGGGGAGTGGAGTTTGGGAAAGTCTGCAGTGCAGGCTCTCCTGAATGAATCTTGAGACTTTTTTTTATTATGTTTTTTGAGAAAATGCCAAAAGGCCCAAAACGCCGAGTGGTCAGCGATGTACAGCACTATTCTACGTGTTACAAATAACAGTTAACATGCTTCTTGAACTGAGCAAGGTTGTTATATATATTTAAAAAAAACATTCTGGAATAAAGACGATGGGAGGGAATTCCAAATTTGGGGTAAATGCGAGGATCAACGCAGAAGGAGAAGCATTGTGACCTGCAGTGTGGTGAGTGAATGAATGAGCGGGTAAGTGT